TTCCTTCGTTAATCTCAACTTTTGGTTCAATCGGAGACATGATGTATTCTAATGACGTTTCTGGTTTTAATTTTGGCATTATATTATTTTCTGCCTCTTCTTTTATTTCTATTTGTCGTACCTATATTTACAAAATTAAATTAAAATCCATTCCAACATTATTGTTACTAGATATAAAAGAAATATTAAACTTACTGCTGCATTAATACTCTCTGCGTGAACTCTCATATGAAAGTTCTTTGATTGTGAATTATTAAAAGATGCGTTACACTTAGAGCACCTATATCTTTTGGTATTTTGTAATATCGATTTTTGTGTTGATTTCGGAGCTATATCCCTTTTTCGAAATAATGGTTCACCCGCGCATTGATGGGCCAACAATGAAACTTCTTTGAAAAAAAGTTTATTGCATTTTGGACAGTGATACGTTTTATCCATAGTATGTGTCTTTTCGTGTGCTTTGAGTAAACTTTTATCTAAAAATGTTTTATTGCAAACATTACATATGTAGGAGGAAGATGTATCGATACGTTTATGTGACATCTGTAAAAACGTAATCAGATGTAAAATAGATTTTTTATAATGGAACATCATAAATATAGTATATATTTTATAACCTCGTGTCTGAAAAGTTGCCATTTTTCTTTGAAAGATAGTTTACATATGTGGCAAGTGAAATTTTTACATGTATAGAAGTCTGAATGAGTTTGCAAATGTATCAACATTGTTGTATGATCATCGAACCATTGTAAACAAATACCACAGCGTGCAACATTCTTACTTACTCCACTAGTTTGTAATGAATGTATTGAAGCATTCCGTTTTGCTAAAGGTTCAACACTTTTCAACATATTATCTCTTTCTAATGCCTGAAAATAATGTATAACAAGTTACAATTTTATCAAACAAATTCGTTAATCTTTCAAGCTTGTTAATATAATATTATTTATAATAATATTATTGTAATATATATAGAAGAGGTAAATAAATTATGGTAGTTAAACCTCTGAGTATGTTCTGACTCTTCCACCACGAGTACAAGCTTCTCTAGCCTCTCGTGCTTCTCGTGCAGCATTTAAAGCTTCTTCCTGTTCAACGCATGCCATAACAGGAGAAATAGAAGATTGTTGATTATGTTCACTCATTCTATGTGCTGCTAAACGTATAAATAAACCAAATGATCGACCACAAATATCACATTTATGTCTTTTAGGTTCGTGAATACGCATGTGATTTGACAATGCACTTTGTTGTGTACATACCTACAATCAAATATAAGAGAAAAATAAATATTATTATTTAATAATTTTTCATATATAATTTATTATAATAGATTATATTATGATATTAAAAAAAAACATTATGTATGCGTTACTTTTCCACATGTAGGACAAGTAAGTGATTTAGTATTTTCAAAAGAATGTTCCTTCTTAATCTCTCGTGAAGAATCTCCAAGACCAATTATACAAAGGTTACTAGACTGCATAGAAAGTTGTGTTTGTGCCATTATATAGTTATTATTTTGGTGCAACTGCTGATGATTGTGATAAGCTTCTATAGTAGGGAAAAATCTAGAAAATAATAAAGTTCTTCATATATGAATATACTTATTCAAATGAATTATTATTTTATTTAGATTTAATAAAATACCTGTTACAGAGGGAGCACCATGTATTCATTCCTATTGCAATAGATTCACCTAAATGATCACGCATTCTATGCTGCTTTAACATTTCCCAACTAACAAATTTACGATCACACTGATGACACTCTTTTACTATTTCATCAAAATCTAATGTAACTTTCAAATGATTAGTACCTTCATGTTTAGCCAAATCTTCAACCGATTCAAAAGACATAGGACATTTTCTACACGTATATTTACGTGGACAATGCAATTGCATGTGCTTTATTAAGCTCTCTCTTGTTCTACAGATAAAATATTATTCTTTATATTAAAAAAAAAAAAAAAAACTAATTAATAATAAATTACATACTCACTTGTAATAACTGTTACAAGGTGCACACCACCACTTTGACGTTAAATTTTCTCTGCCTTTTAATTCCTTACGATCATTCATAGTTAAACTTCCTGTCAAAACTTGTTCTAGAATACTAGTTCGTTTTTCTTCTTTTTTCGTTCCAATTTCTCCCTTGGAAAATTCATTTTCATCGTCCATATGTTCAAGAACATTAATACCAGTTTGTTTGTCTGTTCCCATATAAAATTCATTCTCTGATATTGTCTTTGAATCTGTACTTTCACATGTTTCATCTCCAAGAAATGTTTCTGAGTTTACTTCTTCAATTTCCACTTCACATGGTAGTTCAGCCAATGTCTCAATACAACAATTAGATTGATGCTCTCGATTAATTTCAGTCGGCATTGAAGAACTTTCAAGAGGAAGTAACGATGGTAATGGCACTAATGGCGGCGGAGCTCTAACTTTTTCTGTGCAGAGTTGTGCCTGTGGAAAATATTTTATATAAATATTTATTTTATATGTAGATATTATATATTATAGTTTGCTGTTGCATCCATATACATATATATATATATATATATATATATATATATATCAATTACTATCATCAAAAAGATTATTACGGTTCACGTACCTGGCAAGGATCAGGAGAATTTTTCATAGCTTCAAAAAATATCTGTACAGATTCAACATCCTTATAAGTCAACAACTTTACATGCATACTTTTGTAAACATTAAGACAATATTCTCTAAACTCATAAATATCATCCAGACGTGCTGCGCAAAACTGACAAATTTGTTTAGGCAGTGGATCTGTTTTATATACTAAAACTGGCAAACAAGCTCGTAATTTTTGCGCCACTTTGCGTTGTACTCCTTCGTTGCCAAATATTGGCAACATCTCGATTTTCTCCTCTGAACACAATCTACATGCATTCTCCCACTTGTTAACCACAGCCATTTCAAATAATTCAACGAGTAATTATACTATCGTTTATATATATTTCTGTAATGCAAAGATAAGATAATAGAAGAAATATTAACACGTATTTCTTCGTTTTTCGGGATTAACCGTTTATGATACAGATTGCAAACAAGTCACGAATTAGGTTAGTTGGTATTCCACTGTAAGCAATAACGGCCAAATATATAAAGCGTTCTAATACGAGCATATTTTTAGTTAAGTCTAAATTAGCGTTATTTAAAAAAGATATTCCGAGAAAAATTTGTTGATTCGAAAAGTCAAGATTTTTCTTTTATCATCTTACTTTCACCTTAGGTCTTTTCGTCCGTTCAGGACGAGCCTGTCGACTACAACGATTCGAGAAAACCGGTTTCGTACGTAACCGCTTATGTTCAAGAATATTGCTTAATAATATCGTTAAATGCACGGATATTTTCAAAAAGTGCTTTAAGTTTTTGTAAATATATTTTTTTTATTGTTAATAATTTTTTATTCTTTTAATAACAATTTGGTTTTTTATTTAAAAAAAATTTTTTTTTAATTAAAAATTTTTTTTTTTTTACTATAATACGAAACTGTTTTTCCTTTCTGAAGTAATTGCATTCAGTCATATTCGCATGTTTACATTCAGTGGTTTTCAAATAAAAAATTTTCTAATAACTATTGAATCAATATTTTATTAGATAATTTGAGATTCATCATAAAATGTATAAGTTATATAATTCATATATAACTGGCAAGAAATGTTTTTTTACCGATAAAAATATTATAGATATATTCTTAAGAACTTTCGAATAATCATCAAAGGTACGATTATATTTGAATACGAAATGATTTATTTTCTATTTATATATATATATTTTTTTTATATATCTTTAATATGATTTATTTAAAAAAAAAAAGTAAGGTATAAAAAATATATATACAATTTGATTTACCAAAATATATTTTTAAAGTTTAAATACACCACACACATAAAACACCATAATAATCAAATGGTGCATACATTCGCATTTTAAAAGATAATTTGCATGTACGAAAGTATTGATTATAAAATATATCTAGATAACTTTGTAAATGCGACTAAATCTTTTTAAAAAATGCACTCATAACTTTATAAGGGAGTTTCCATGTTTTACAATATAATAAATGGTTTCATAGAATTTCTTGTCATGCTTATAAATAAATTCTATTAACCAAAAACACCAGCATTTGTAATTTACCTATAACAATAATACATATATATATACATATATATATATATAATGTATATATAATAATGTACATATATATATATATATATATATATATATATATATATATATATATATGTACATTATTTAATTATAATGTTCTATTTAATAGAATTGAAATTTTTTATGTGAATGCTGGAATATAAACAGATGTAGAGCATTTTATATAAAATTTATATGCAAACGCGTGTTTAGGTATTTATCATATAATTAATTCATCCTTTTTCATTTTTTCGCCACATAAAAATGCATATTATCACATAGATAAAACTAACAATTGTACAATTAATGCATGTACATAATAAACTCATATCTCTCCATTAAAGAGTTTGATAAAACAATTTTTCACAAATATAATTACATATAAATAATTATAATTATAATCTTTTACTCTCTTTTGTTTCTGCAAGTATAAAAATAATCAGACAGCAGCTCTTCTGTGTAAATATTATATTACGTATATGTGCATAGGGGAGAAAGATATTTGTATACAATATATACATTAACGCAGTAGCAAAAATTATTCACTTCTGAGAAGGTACGTTAAAATGTGGTGACCATGGAAGAATTCTAAATATTCTTTTTTACAACTTTTTACAAATTCACGAATATTAAAATAAAATTGAAAAAATAGTAATATATAATTTTTCTAACTATCACCATGCGAACAAAAAATATTATATTACTACACGTAAATTGTATGTATATATGGTATATATAATATTCCAATTTCAAAGTTTAGTGCATATATATGTGTGTGTGTGTATATGTATATATATATATATATATGTATATACATATATATACATATATAATTTTATTAATTTAATATATTTGATTTTCTATAGTAGACAGTTTTTAGATAAGTATTTTATATTACATTATACAAGATAGTTTAGATAACTACAACCAATTCGATAAATATATAAATATTAATCGTAACAAAAAATGATTTAGATGAATATTATATAATTAACAAATAATTATAATATTTTTGAATGTTTGTAAATTCTTAATTTCAATACCATTCTTGGTTTTTATAATAGAATTCAATAATTCTATATAAAAAAAGTTAGAGAAAATATCAATACAAAAATTTACTTGAAAACTGTTATTTAACATAATTAAATTTGTTTTATTATTATCTATTACATATGTATGTTACGAAAAAAATGATAGATGACGCTATATTCACAAAATTATAGATAACGATAAGATCTTTTTAATTTAAATATTTAATTAATATTAATATTTATGCAATTATCCAAGTAGTTTCAATTATGTAAACAACCCTGTATAGTACAGCTTTTATAACAAGAAGCAGTGTTGAATTATATTATTTTATATATATATATATAATATTTTCTTTACATTTAAGAATAATTTTATACAGTAATGAAAAAATAAACTTGATGTAAAAACATCTTTCTCTCTGTAATTATCATCCTCATAAGAAAAGTACAGATATATAGAAAATTATCCTGTACAATTGAACTGTATCAATGATTATGTAAATGAATGAAGCAATTTTTTCATTTACACACAAGTATTATAATATAAACTATATATTTCCCTGGATAAATATTCCAGTCAAATCTTAGTATAGTGCATCATACGCTTGAATAACTACTCACAACCGAATGAGGAGCTTAGCTAATACAAATTAAAATTAACTTGGATTAAATTATGTTATATAGATGAATCCTTTAACATTTAGTATAGTATACAACAAAGCTTTACAATTTTTAAAACAATGAATAATATATTAAGCAGAAAAAGAATAATAATTTCTTTTCTTTATCTAATACATTGATTAACAATTACATATTATCATATTAAAAGATATAAAAGAATAAAGAATCTTACAAAGTCTGAATTATATATCTCTTTTGCTTGAAAGACAAGTAAATTTGTATATATTCTTACTACCTCGCAGGTACGGCCGGCATTTTTTCTAAAAAGTCTTGTTCTATTACACTTTCCAATTGTATATTATTGATAGGAGCACAAACGTTATTTGATTTACGACTAAGCCTAGTAAAAAAATGATGCAAATCTTGCAAGGAACGTATTGAATTGGATGTTAAGATCAGTTCTCCTGGAGTTATCTGTGAGACAGGTGTTTCCTGTTTGTACTGAAAATAAAATTACGTAAGATCTTGTAAAATTAGATTATACAGTTATTATTGTATTATTATTCTTTTTTTCAAAATTTCTTTTTCATAAAATTATTGCAATAATTTTAAGTTGATAAACAAGTTTAAGTGATAAAAAATACACGCAACCATATATAGATATGTATATACAAATATAGTTATTGGTATAGCTGTAAAAATAAACCAAGTGTATATATCTCCTCTTCTACTGTGCCAAAATAAGCATGTTAGTTACTAAATTAATACAATTGAAACAGTGATAGTGGCACTTCCCATACTAATCAATAAAAATATATTGCATTATTTTTATTTATAATATTAATAATTTATAATGACATAAAATAAAAAAAAATATAACATAATCAAGAAATCAAGAAAGCTCAAAGGAATATTCTGAAAAGAATTTTAAATAGAAGATCTATATCCATATAAGAGTATGTGTGTGTATATGTGTATACATAGTACGATAGTTAATTGAACACATTTGTGTGTAATAATAAGTAAAGAGTATATATATCCTACAGACAGTCAGTGTGAATGTGCTCATGACAATGGTTAGAATGAAGAATATCCTTTACTGCATCTTTTATTTTATAATATTAACAAACGGACGTAAGTATTACATATTTAAAGAAAATATTTCAAAAGAAAGTAATAAATACAAAAGATACTAATTTATTGTTCCTGTAATAAAAGATATCTATCAAAAAGTATTTTTAATACCATGTTAAAATGGAAACTTATATTTATATATATATTATATATATATATATATATATATATATATATATATATTTAATTTTTAATATTTATTTAATATATATAAAGTATATAGTATAACAAATACTGATGCATCAAAGCATACTAGTAAAGCTTCTTTAATAGCTTTAATTTTAGTTGATTGATATTAATTCCGATTAAGCAAATGAATACTACATTATTTTAACTTCAACATATAATAATAACTCAAACGTATATTAATTCTTTCATTGAATATGTTAGTTGTAAATTAATCTGTTAAATAAAAATAATATGTTGTAGAATACAAAGATGACAGAGATTACAATCATGAATTTTATGAGGATGCATCAATTGATTATATACAGAATTGGGGAGAACATCCACAAAATGCATTACAAGATGATTTCTACATTTTAAGTGATGTAGAAGATGCAGAATTACACGATATTTATCCGGATACAAACGATTTCACCATCACATTTGCTGACAATAAAAACTCATTTAAACATGCTAATTCGCTTAATAATCAATTGGATTGGTATAAAATGCCTGAAAAAGTATATCGTTATACTAAACATCGTATTCCTGGATATGATTATGATGAATTTGATTACTTTGGCATAAAGAATTCCAAAATCTGCGATGAAAAGTCAGTATGGACCCACTGTCTTTGTCAATTTACATGCAAAGAACCTAATATAGTAGATTGCTATACACCATGCAAAAGTGGATGCGAATGTAAGGAAAATTATGTGTTTGATGAGAAACAAGAACAGTGCCTATTACCTGAAGAATGTTCTTCCAAACAAGAAGACATTATTTATGATAAATAAAATTTTATAAAATATTCAATCTTTATGTTTAGCGATAATTGAAAATAATCAGTCTGTATCTTTTATGAATTAAATAGTTATTAAGAAAATAAATACCTTGTTATCCATAAGCTTTGCTATCCTTGTTATGTGTGGCACAAAATCAGAAGAGAGATTATTATTATTTGAACATCCTACTGCAGCATCACCGACAAATGCCCATCTATACCTGTTAAAATGAATAAGAAAAATTAAGTATTAAACATGGTAGATTGTTAATTTATATTTTCCATACTTTTATCTTTTTATATTATAATAAATGATACTCACATTTGAAATTGCGGTAATCTGTGTGCTGGAAGTAATAACACAAGATCTAATAGTTTAGCAGCAGCAAGTTGTAACTGTAACCAGTGTGGATGACCATGAGCTTGCAGACCATTGCTAGCATTTATAGCCCAAGAAGAATCCAAAACAGAGATTACTTTTATATGTGAACTATTAAAACAAAAAATTTATCAATAAATAATATTTTCCTTCTATCAATTATATTTATTTGCATACTGATTTTAATAACACCGTCAGATGATAACAACACACTTATATTAAAGTACAAAAAAAAAAAAAGAACAGAAACTCAAGGGTTCTGAGCACAACTAATGTCATTCGTAATATATTGTAAGCATCATTGATACATTTTGCAGCATTTTTTGCATTTTATGGTTATCGCCAATAATAATGAGAAACTATTTAAATAATAATAATTATTATTTTTACCATCTACTGCCACAACTTATAATTTTTATACACAATAGCGTACATAATGATTTAAATAGGATTAATATATCAGCATTATATTATCTCCTTGAATTTATGTTAATAGAAAAAAAAAAAATGCATACATAAAACAGGACAAGATCAATGAAAAACACATTAGCCTTGTAATTACCTGCTCTGACGACTGATGTCCCAACACCAATCAAATTCATGGTGGCATCACAAATCCCATCAAATCGCGAATGCCATAACAAATTCAAAAACAATATGTTATTAGGTATTTATCCATGTTAGAGGAAAATTATGTAGGCAAATTAGGATTGGACTGCAGCATACGGGTTTGGATGTAAACTTCTAATGTATAATCCAGAAGGAAACAAACAGCTACATTTTAAATATACTATAATAATTACTTGATCTTTATATATTTCTAATATTAAACAAATGCTTTTATATGCTGAACGATAATTTATAGTATGTTTTATACTAATACTATATAAGTGACAACTAATTATTTATACGTAAAGAAGTATATAATTAAATTCAAATAATTTATATCAATCTATGTGTAATGTATTTATGTATCATGCATTATAAAAAAAAAAAAAAGAAAAAGAAAAAATGTTATATGTTATAAATTTCTATCTCACTGATTGAAAAATATTTAGCTTCCAACAATTGTATATATTAAAATCCATCATGCATAAAGAGCAACATAATTATCCCACAAGCACATATTTCATTCCAGATGCTATAAATATAAAAAGTTTCAAAACATACCTAAATTCCTCGCTGTCTGTGTTTAATTCATGTTCGATGTATAGGAAAACTTGTACAAGTTCACTGACTATAACAGGCCACAGAGAAGTAGCATGTTGTGGTGACATTCGTAAAAGTAATACTCGAAAACACAAAAATACTTGTGCCTGAATTGATGGTATCACTTGCGGTAGACGTAGACTATCAGCAAGTCGTTCTAATAAAAATAAATGTATATAACATTTTCTTTTTTTTTAAGCATACTGAATATATTATACACACCTTGATATAATCATACATACCTTGAATTTCTGGCATATATTTATGATATTGATCCATCTCACTACATAAAATTACAAAAGCCAATCTCTTCAAAAGTTGTGCTTTTTGTTCATATTCCTGTTCTCTCGTGGAAAAAATACTAATGCTGCTACTTTGTGCCATTGAAACGCGATCTAAATAATAAATATTTTTATATAAATCTTTTCGCGTATAGAGAGGACAAAAAAAAGAAGTAAATAAAAAGATCTCCATACTCATTAAATCTCGGAAAGTGGTATTATCATGTGTCATTAGATTATCTATAATTGTTCTCCAATATGGTAAACATGCAGGCGTCATTTGAAAGAATGCAGGATCAAGTAATAAATCAAGCACATCCTTACGCCAAGCTTTTCTAGTGTATTGATATCCGGAAAGAGAACTTAGTAATTGAGAACAAGCTGTGAATGATGCAATATTTTTCATCCTAAAAGTAAAAAATATAAATTTAACTATTAAAGTTTCAATTTACTTTTAAATTATAATTTTATTAAACTTACGTATGATTTTTAAGATATGGTGTAACATTATACATAAGATTCGTAAGTAACGTAACAACTCTTTCTTTTTCTTGTGAGCCATAACTGACATCTAATAAAGGTGCTAATATTTCAGCCAAAACTCCTTGTGCTTGAACACTATAAGCTACATTTGGAGGTGTGCCTGGTGTTACTAAAACGAAAGAAAATTATTATCGATAATGATTTGTATAAATCGTGAAAATAATAAAATTAAAATTTTTAAATTACTTACCAGCACCACTTTTGCCTTCTTTACCTTCCGAAGAACCTTCAACAACTTCAAAAACATCTTCGCGTACAGCTAAATTCCTTCTTAACCATGTTGTTTGTTCTAAACATGCTCCAGCTATTTGTGAACATGATTCAATTAACTGGAATTCAATAATTTAATATTTATTATATATAGTAAAATATACATGAGAAAAATACAAAACTATAAACTCTAAAAATCAACTATTACCTTTGCAGATACATCTTGTAAGTCTCTAATATCTTTTTTCTCTTGCATGGGAGGGCATTTTTGTACATATTCATTTAAGATTGCTAATAATAAGAATTGAGCAGGTGCTGTTAAGGATAAACCATCTTTCAATAAACCAAGTAATGATGCCCACGATTCAATAAGTGACTGTGAAGCATTACTTTGCATGTAAACATAAAGTAATTCTAATACAGAAACTTCTAATGAAAAATCTTGCTTAACACCATGAATTGGGGGTGGCGTCTTTACTACTTGATGTACTGTTTGAACTAATGTATCAATTGGTATAACACGTATGGCACTAACTAAATGTACCATTACTTGTTGATTTGGACAAGCTTCTGGGAGTACCTATATATACATATTTATTCATATAATAACATTAATTAGCATATATTTTTAAAAATTTTTAATAAAATTAAAACTTAATAAATATAAGAAAATATTTAGCATATACTCAGTATACAGATCAATATAAGAAATAAAATATATTGCATTCAGAAATATAATAATAATATTGTGACTTTACCTTCTTTGAAGAAGCAGTAGATTGTCGCCTTTCATGCCAAGCAACTGCAACTGCAGCAAGAAAATTTACTCCATGATGAAAAGATATAGGTGATAAAAGTTCTAATAGTTGATGCTTCACTATTCTTGGACTGCCAACTACACAAGTTGCTTGTTCACTGTATTAAAGATAAAAATGATAAAATAAATATTGATATAGTCATAATAAATAATTTTGTATAAATACGAATATTGTACGAACTTGTCCTTTGTAGCTAAAACTGCTTGCCATAAAGTTGAAAGTGAAGCAATTATTCTTGGTAAATGACTCAATGCTGTTCTTCTCGCATGTTGATGTAATTCATTTGCCCCATTTTTCTCTTTTGATGTAAGTTCCTAAATATATTAAATCAATGAAATTTCTATTAAATAATTTATTAATATTTACATGCAGAAGAAATAATTTTATATATTTATCTTACCGACGAAAGCGGACTTGGCATAAAAACATGAATAAGATTACTAAAAATTTGTCCAGGATTTGCACCAGGTACACCAGTTTGAACGGTACCACTTAATGGTTGATTAAATGAGAAACCAATTTGTTGTGAAGTATCCAGTAAACAATAATGAAGCAAAAATGTTAGTGCTTCTAAATGCGTGACTGTATAATCAGCAGGTAAACAGCATTCAACTGTGCTTATATCTTGCAATTTTGAAAGCAGAGTTGCTTCTTCATTGATGTAATAAGAAGCTAAATGTTCAATATTATAACACAGTTGATGAATTACTGATGTTACTATAGACGTTAATGATGAACCCATAAATGGCAGGCTAGATGTAACAAGAGTTGTCCAATGTTGATGCAGATGTCTCATATGTTCCTAAAGTAATATCATAATTAAGTGAAAAAAGATTAAATTTTATTATATATTATGTAATATTCATCAATAATTTGTTATAAGTGATATATAGAACAAACCAATTGTAATGCACTAAGAATGCTGTTAAGAAACATTGACTGTTGTGGAATTGGAATACCAGGTACATATTTCAAGCTATTAGCTGTTAAGCTTGAAACGGATCGAGTTGGGGTACTTGGTATAGATGTTGTCATAACACCAATTTCTTCTCCTTTTTGTATACTACATTGATGTTCTAACATTATCAAAGCTAACAACAACCTAAGCAACAATAATACGTTATAAACAATCTAAACAACAGTAATACGGTATAAAAAATATGTTATGTTTCACAAATCGTACTGACTTTTCTGAAACATTTTATTACCTTAAGAGTTGTATTTGAAAAGCTTCAGTGTGATCACTTGCTCTATATTTGCATTTATTAATTTCATTTTCTATAATAGGATCATTAAACGATATTATTTCTTCTGTGAATGTAAAGATTTCTTCATTTTCTTTATTTGCATTTTTCATACTCATCACACTTGATACAAGACAATGAAGTGCAACTTTTTGCACTTTGCATTTAGCGAGTAAATCTACTATATAACAACTAAAACCTTTTCCAGAATCTCGTACAATATGAATTAGTTCAGAAAATATTAAAGTTAATAGTTCTGCACTTGCAAGTTGTACCTTTAAAGAAATAAAAATTAATAAAATAATTAATATATATAATCTTGTAATATATCAATACTTACTTGTCGATTTCCAGAAATTTCTTCTTGTGTGAGTCTCATTTGTCCTAAATTAGGATAATAACTTCTAGCAAAATAAAGACAGACACTAATTAAAACTTCCAAATACATGCTACTTCTGTAGGCTGCTATAAATTCTGTATAAGCTACATCACCATGAAAGTTTCTTCCAAATACACTCTTTCTATGTCTAGCTAATAAATTTAATAGTGTTGTATTTTTTGTGGCATTAGCGACACCAGTTGTTGCCGCACAACACAGAAACATTCTAGTATTTGTTATAAGTTCATTTCTCAATGTACGTAAAGCATATAAGGTTCTTGTTGAATCATATACTCCACAATAAAGAAGCATATGAGAGTGAAGATTGTGAACACCTACCCCAGAATTGCGATTTACTTTTACATTATTTTGTATAACGTCATCCGTCTATAAAGAAATTTCATTGTAAGGAAATATATATTCAAAAAGTTTAGTAATATTAAATTACTTACATTCTTACTAGTTTCAACATCACATATTTGCATTACTCGATCAAGAACTTCATTCAATATTTCTTCTACAATGCTAGTTGTACTAGAATTACTGAAATATTCTTCTGCTGTAGTACTCAAGTCAATATCACCTTCTTCACCCTCCATTGTCCAACTAGGAACTTCAGCACTTGTTTCAAAGCTTCCTACATCATGTACATCATAGCCTGTTGTAAATTCATTAGTACTTTGATATTTGCCTTTTAAAATAGTTCCTGCTACTTCTCTTGAACCACCTGATATCATAATATGTTCCTTTTTTGGCTTATTTTGCTTATTGTTTATTTCTGGACTACTAGAATCAAAACTATTTGTAATAGAATCCAATGATGAGCCTATGTCGCCATTCATTTTTTTTAAAGCATTTTTGTCCTTTCCTTTGAGACTTGAATTAGCAGATTCAAAGAGACTCTCATCAAGACTAGCTGTAGAGCCTTTATCAAAATCTATTTTTTTAAATCTAGTAGCATTTTTTAATATTTCTGTTGTCAAATTTGATTTTTTCATACTGGAAAAAGAGTCATCCTCTGTTAACGAATCATTTGAATTTTCGTTACAATTTATTGACAGAGGATTTACAAATACTGAAATTTTACGATTGCCAGAAATACTAGGTGGAACTTCTAATTCTTTCATAAACTGATTTCGTTCAGTAACATAGTGATTACAATTATCACCAGTAGCTAATGTCGTAACAGCAAATATTCTTTTTACTTTTACAGGATTTATAGATTTTTTTTTCTTTTTTTCCTTTTTTGATTTTTTATCCTCATTCATGCCATCGCTAACATGATATATAACATTACCATCTACAGAACTAATTGCATATATCTTAGCAGCACCTTCTGTATCATCTTGTATTTCAGATTTTTCTTCAACAGGATCATTTTTTGTTAAAACAGTATTACTATGTTGTATACTAACATGGAGGACACTCATACGACATGTAGACGGATCTAATAACATAGTTAGTAATGGATCCAATATACGAGAAATATCTCCTCGCATAAGTGAATGAAGAAGCCACGACTGTGCAAGTAATTTCAATGGTGAATTATCTGATAATTGAAGATTATCTAACATTTTTAACAAGGACCTGAAATACATTTATATCTATATTAAGAATTTAATATAATTTTACAAAATTATTTATGTTAAATAAAACGTGTTCGATCAATTTTAATACATAGAATTATAAAAATGAAATTCTTACTGGTCGAATGCTCGTAAGCATCCGCGTAGTCTAGGATTTGTTTCAATTTCTCGTCCAAGGTGCCATAAGGTTGCAAATCTATTGAACGCTTCTATCTTTTTCTCCATGTTATCAGATGCAAGTGCAGATCCTATTACATCTTCAACGGCATCACAGGAATCATGTAAAGCATGATGTAATTCATGCATTAACTCAACACATCTCATCCTGTATTTATGAGCAGGTAACTCACCAAGATGATGCCACAAAGAATGTGCTAACACCTTAAATCAAAATATACTTAAATAATGATAATTTATTATTTTATTAAATAATCAAAATAATGCTTACTTGAAATACGTTGGTATATTGTATTAAGTAAGTTATATGCCACTGTTTTAATAATGGTATCATAACTACAGTTGTTACACCTTCTCCACTTTTTGGATATATTTCTATATCACTATGTGCCTTTAACAATGCTATTAAATCTAGCAATGTTGCAATACTCGTTAATTGCAATGTTGGTTGTTTTCCTAACCAGCAAGCACAAACAATCAAGACCTTTAGCCAATCAGGAAAGACAATTGTTCCTTTTGGTTCATCTTCCAGCAATAAACCATCTCCAGAAAGAAAATATTTTGGGAAAGTTGATAATTCAACAAGTAAAGTTGATGCAATTTTAACAGATTCTTCCCATTCAGATTGAGCTATTGTGTCAGTATATGAGTGAAGAATATCAAAACATTTAATGTCTTCAACAACAGATAAATCTTGACTGAAGAACCCAGAATCTTCCAAATTTAATCTGGAGTTCAATAGAAGTTCTAAATAATGCATTCTTTCGTTAAAACTTTCTCTAGGACAAGAAATTAATAAACTATCAAACATATTCTGTACAGTCTTTTCTTTAGCAAGTACTCTGTTACTAATTAATTTCACATAAAAAATTTCATATTGACGTAAACATTTTTCCAGCATCGAATGTTGAGCTTGAAATGCTGAAGATGTTTCTTTTATTAATGAATTCGTAGAATCCATATAATTGTACACAGAATTACGATTTAATATCGTTGATTTTTCTTCCAACGCATTTTGCTCTTTTTCTTCAGAATTTGTTTGTATATTTTCCATACTTTTATTTCTTGATAATAATTTAAAATCTTCATTAATTGAAGCATTAATGTTGTCAGTTTGTGTTACAGAAGCATCATTCAGTTTAGAAGTACTTCTACTTCCTTTCTTCTTAGATTTTTTTTCAATTCTTTTAGTAGTACCACCAGAATTTGCTCTTCTTCTAAGATTTGGACTTTTTTCATTATAAGAACTATTCATAGTATCAGCTTTGTTTAATTTACTATCTGACTGACTTTTTTCTAATGGAATTGCAATCAAAGAATTATCATTGCTACTTGTAGTAGCATTATTTTGAGAAGAATCCAATTTTGCATCTATTTCACGCTTGTCTGTTTGTGTTGTCGCTACTGTTGGTTGTACTTTGGATAGAATCTTTGCACATAGTTGAAGACTTTTTGAGATTTCCATACAAGAAAGCAGATCAATATGGCACAATAATTTACTAATAATATTGTAAAACAAAGTAGGTAAATGATCAGAAGGGGTATCTATAAATGTGTCCAATGATACAGTATCTAATAGAAATTCTGTTAATATGCATATTTCAATCAAATTTGGCATTCCACAACCAATAGATTTAACAATTGTCTCTTTGATTTCACACTGAGTTTTAATCCTAGCTTGACAAGCTTTTTCAAACAAAAAACCACAATGTATCCAAACATAAGACGGTTCTAATGTTGAAAATAGCAAATTTGCTGATTTGACCACTTCATTGGTTTTTGGTATTCTACTTGACTGTCCGCAAGCAATATAAAAAGTTCTATAAATTCAAATCATAAAAAATTAATCAAATTTAATATACTTAATATTATTTTTAAATAATTATATAATAAATGTGCTTTTTTTACCTAAATATTTCAAACAAAATGTCATCTAAGATTATTGGTCCAATATCTGATTTATCTAATAATGAAACTAATATTCTATATGGTTTTAAATCTTGAGGATTTTCTTCGCAACTATTTTTCAATAATGATTTAATAGCTTCAATTAACATTTCTTTTGCATATGTATCAAAATAAGTAGCTGCATCCTCTAGAACTTCATTGGTCGTTGAAGGAGCTTTTGTTTTTAAGATTGATGTATTTACTTCAGTTCCCAAAAGCCATGCAAATAGACGCCTAACAAAATTACATAATATAATAGTTCAATATTTAAAAATATTTTATTTATTTAAAAATGTTTACCTGTTCAAGCTCATGTCTCTTCTCAATATCGTAGTAAGAGCAGCTGTAATTAATAATACCATATCCTTATATAACAATAAACTATTGTGTACAGGAAAACCAACCAATAATAAGTCCAAAGCACTTCTTTGTACTAGAACTGAGTTATCCTGTACTCCAGCGCATAACGCAGTAATCTTAATTAGAACAAAAGTTAATATTGTATATAATATGCAAATATATATTGTAAGTTTTATGTTTTACAAATTTGTAATTTTTGGACTTTTAAATATTTACCATAATATCACTGTCAGTACCCATAATAAATTTCTGCTCTTCCATAGGTATTTTTTTATTCAAATGTGACAGTACAAAAGATATAGCAGGTAAACGTATTCCAGAATTTGAAGCCAAACAATCCCATAAGCATGCATAAAAATGCTCTGCACCTACTCCTTCACATACTTTCTCTAACAGAGAGTTAGTTCTAATAACAATTAATTTTTCTTAATATTAGAGAACAATTGAATGATTTAAAAAAATTTATATTAATAAAGACTATACATTCACAAACTATGAATTTTAATATCAATAGATTTTAATTATACCTATCAAAATGATCAGAACCATCTTCCAAGCCAGGAAGTACGCCACTTAAAAATCCACTCAATCCTGGTCTTAATCTTTCTCCAAGGGGTACAAAATGAGTTTCATATACAGTCAATAAAGATGGTCTTACATTCATAGCAGCATGACCCAATAATGGGAAAAGACCTTAAAGAATAAATAATAATAATAACTCTAAATTTCTATTTTAGAGCCATTCAAGACACACATATCGAAATTAAATTACCTGCACTATATATAAAAAGTTCATGGCTAAGTCTATTTGTACCCATGCATTTAAAAATGGTATCATAAGTTTCCAAAGCTTTTAAATGAACGCCAGAAGGCAAAGCAGGATGCATACATTGTGCTAATCTCTTTGATATTTTTATTCTCCTTGGAATTACTGGAAACTTCATATGATTTAATAATACTTTGTTTAATTTGCCAAGCGCAGAAATAAGATCTGCCCATTCACTAGTATATTCAAAATTTTTTAAAGCCTTGTCTACAGCAGAGACATAGCTAAATAGATAAAATTTTAACATAATTATCAGCTATTATCAGTATCATTTTAAATACTTTTATTACTTTTTAATAATACTTACACGCGATATTTAGAATCTTTCATAAGTTCACATTCTTCCATAGTGATGGAACCCATGATTATTGATTATGTATTAATCTGTTTAAATAAAATATTTTCTAGCTTTTAATTATAATTAAGATCTATTTACATTATCAGTTATATGATACATTGATGGTAACTTTGACAGTTCTTTTATATTATAAGTAATTCTTATTATATGGCACGTGTTATAAGTAAATAAAAACATGTTCCACTATCTGCAATTAAAAATGAAGAATAATTTAAACTACAAATTTTATATATTCTATAGTACATAAAAATTATCGATATTACAAATCTCATAAGGAAATAAATTTTTTTTTCACTCATATACAGACATAAACAATAATAAAATGATAAATTCTGATAACAAAAGCAATTAAATAGAAATATAAAAATTGTATATATTTTATTTGGAAAAATCTTTCTTTTAGAAATATATGATATAAAAGAACGCAGTTTTGTTAAACTTTCAAGTCAATATGGCTGATTTTGTAATTAATGTATTACAAAAGAAACACTTTGTATCTACAATATTTTTACTATTTTAAAAAAACAATTGATATTTTGTGTTGACATTTCAAATTTACATATGTTGTCAAGGATAAATTAAAGCTTATTATATCAACATACGATTCAATATCATGGGGATAATGTGAATTACGATAAACCACTTGCAGGATTCGCTATCTTCCAGATTTTTACAAAGTAGAATTAAATCCATAAAAAATATAGAAAAATTTTCGTTTCTTCGAATTTTTTATCACATATACTCAAGTTGTATCTCCCTTTCTTCCCTTATTCTTACTCTTCTTCGTTCTCACTACTTCCTGCCCGCTCTTAACACCTTATTCTATATGCTTATGCAGTAGACTGAAGTTGGCTTTATAATAAGTCTTAAATGATAAAAACTTAAGGCTATTCATAACCTTTCACTCGAAGCGTGTATAACTTCAGCGACAGGTATGAACAAAATATGAACAACAAGCGTGAGCAAGGAATGGATCTATAAAATTGTAAAAATTTAATTAGAATAAATTTTTTAAGTAATTATTTATATGAATTAATTAAAAGTAAATTGAAATATATATTTTCACTTTTGTCGAACATAAACTTCAGCATTATTAATCGTATCATTTAATTTCTTAAATTAGTCGAAATCATAATTACATGAATGATATTTTTAAAAAAATTTCTAATAATTATTAACTTGAATATAATTCCACATTGATAATATCTATACTATTCTATAATATAAAATATAATATCTATAATTTTTCTATAATAATAAAATCTATACTAATCAAATATATATATTAATTTGATATTGGAAATAATAATATACATGCAAGTTGAATTTGATTGGTTCGTTCGTTTTTATGAAAACTCTCGAATACGATAGATGTATATGAAAACGAACCTCATGGTTACTCAGTTTTCCCGCGTAAAATCAGTATATATTAACTCGTTTGAGTTGTTGAGTTTATTGCTATTATTCTATGTGTTTCGTTTAATTATTTTAAATAAACAAGAAACATAATTATCGATAAATATGACTTCAATCGATATAGATCAAAGACTTGAAGAATTACAACGAGAATATGTTGACTTTTTGGACGACATGGTATATAATTTAAATATTTTCTATTCTTATATCATGTCAATTGAATAAAATGATCAAAATGTATATTAAATTATTACAGGAAGATCAGGGTATATATGCCAATCTGGTTAAAAATATGATTGAAGAAAATAAATATAGATTATATGTAAATATTAATGATTTAAGAAGAAAAAATCCTCCACGTGCTATTAGGTACTGTTATTTTTTAAAAAATCTTTTGCAAAATGTTATCATAATTGCAAAGTATAAATCTCATACTTCTTAATTTTATTTTTATAATTACAGTTTATTAAATAATTCTTTCGAGGAACAATTAGCATTTCAAAATGCATTAAGACAATATGTTGCTAATGTAGATACAGATTATGCTAAAGGAAATGTAGATTTTTTTATAGCATTTGAGGGAAGTTTTGGAAACAAGCACGTCACACCAAGAACATTAACTTCGCGTTTTTTGGGTAATTTAGTATGTATCGAAGGTATTGTGACAAAATGTAAGTATATACATTTATATATATTTTATTATATACAATTAAAATAAAATATCATTGGTCATATTTCTAATTTATTTATTTAAGGTTCCTTTGTGAAACCTAAAGTTGTACGTAGTGTTCATTATTGTAGTACAACGAAAACAGTAATCGAAAGAGCTTATACAGATTTAACTTCAATAGAAGCATTTCCACAATCTGCTGTATATCCTACTACAGTAATTATTTTTACTTTTATTTAAAAATATTTTTTGCTAAGTATTTTACATTATTTACAATAAATATTTTTTATTTAAGGATGAAGATGGAAATCCACTTGAGACAGAATTTGGCCTATCTACATATAAAGATCATCAAACTCTTACGATCCAAGAAATGCCTGAAAAGGCACCAGCTGGACAATTGCCACGTAGTGTTGATATCATATGTGATAATGACTTAGTAGATTTATGTAAACCAGGAGATCGAGTTCAAGTTGTAGGAAATTATAGGTGTCTTCCAGGAAAACAAGGGGGCTATACAAATGGCACATTTAGGTTTTTAAATAAATTTTTTTTTTTTATTTTATTTTTTTTTTTTTTTTTTTTTTTTTTTTTTTTTTTTTCATAAAAATGAAAATGTCATTTATGTACATTATAATTCTTTTTCATTTCCTACAGGACAGTTGTAATTGCCAATAATATTATGCAATTAAGCAAAGAAGCTAGTCTCTCTATTTCACATGATGATGTAGCAATGTGTAAAAAATTAGCTAAAAGTAATCCATGTAAAAATATTTTTGAACTTTTAAGTAAATCTTTAGCACCTTCCATACATGGCAATGAGTACATAAAAAAGGCTATTCTATGTCTTTTGCTTGGTGGTGTAGAAAAAATTTTACCTAATGGTACAAGACTCAGAGGGTACTATCACAGAAAATTAATAGAATACGATAATTTTCACTTACATTTTTCAAAAACTCTAAAACTTCCATATTATTTGTAGAGATATTAATGTTCTACTCATAGGAGATCCATCTGTCGCAAAATCTCAACTTTTACGATACGTTTTATGTACTGCCCCACGTGCTATAGCAACTACCGGCAGAGGTTCATCTGGTGTAGGTTTAACAGCTGCAGTTACAGTAGATCAAGAAACTGGAGAACGTAGACTTGAAGCAGGTGCTATGGTCTTGGCTGATCGCGGTGTTATTTGTATTGATGAATTTGATAAAATGTCAGATCTTGATAGGACTGCAATTCATGAAGTGATGGAACAAGGAAAAGTTACTGTTGCTAAAGCTGGTATTCATGCTAGTCTAAATGCACGTTGTTCGGTTTTAGCTGCTGCAAATCCTGTTTATGGAAGGGTAACAAAATTATATTTGGATAAAAAATTGAATTTAAATTTAATTTTTACTTTATAAGAACTTCATGTAATTATAAATATATATGTTTACAGTATGACCAATACAAAACACCAATGGAAAATATAGGATTGCAAGATTCTCTGCTTTCACGTTTCGATTTGTTATTCGTAATGTTAGATATAATAGATTCAGAGCAGGATCATGTAATCAGTGATCATGTTGTGAGAATGCATAGATACAGAAATCCAATAGAACAAGATGGAGAAGCTTTACCATTGAGTAGTAAATTAGATATGTTAACAACTAAAAATCAGGATGAAGAACTTACTGAAGAAATAGAAAAACAAGTCTATCAGAAATATGATCCTATGTTGCACGGGCAATCATGTGCAAAAAGGTATATTAAAAAAAAAAAAATATATATATATATATTATTTTATATTACATATATGTAATATTATATTAAATAAATTTATTTTTTTAGTGATCAAATTTTGAGCATAACTTTTATGAGAAAATATATTCATATAGCACGTTGTATGAAACCAAAATTAACAGAAGAAGCCAGTGAAGTTATAGCCGACGAATATTCGAAACTTCGATCAGAAGATTTGCTTGAGTCTGATGTAGCAAGGGTATCGTATTATATTCTATAGATAAAATGATATTATATAATTGATATTAAATGATATTATTATTCTTTTCTACGCTATATTTTTTAGACGCAACCTGTAACAGCTCGTACTTTAGAAACAATGATTAGATTGTCGACTGCACATGCAAAAGCACGTTTATCAAAAAATGTTACTGCTGAGGATGCTCAGGCAGCCATTGAATTGATACAGTTTGCTTATTTCAAGAGGGTGCTAGAAAGAGAAAAAAAGAAACGTAGAAGACGCGATAGTGATGCTAGCACAAATAGTAATGAAGATGAACCAGGTAGAGGGGCAAAGCGTTCAAGAAGACATCATGATGCACCGGGAGAATCTACTAGCGATCCTTATGAATACAAGAGCGATACTGATGAATCTGTTGATGAATTTACAAGAAGGACTACTAGATCTCGATCTCAAAAAACAACTGCTACTTCTTCGACTACAGCCTCTCAGAGCTTAGTCCAAAGTAGTGAAGAAGCTGTAGCTTCTACAGAGAAATCATCTGAAGAAACAATTACAGAGGAATCACCTGCAACTATTACAGAAGAGAGGTATAACAAATAATAGATAATATTTTGTATTGAATAAAAGAATTCTAGTAATATCACTTATCTTATCATATACAAGAAATAGGAATAATGCATGTAATGTATTTTTTTTTTTTCATTTTAGGTTGAAAGTTTTTCGATCTCTACTTCATAAATTATTCCAAGAACAAAGAGTTCAATCTTTACCTCTCTCTAGAGTTCGAAATTATTTGGATACGCAACATACTCCAAATTTTACACCTTCCGAAATTACTGCTGCGATTAATAAAATGACGGATGATAATCAAATTATGTCTGCAGATGATAATATTTTTCTGATATAATTTAAATTTCGTAATTAATAATTTTATAATACATGTATTGTTAAAGTAAAATTTAAAAATATATTCTAATAGTACTCCGTATTTTTTATACAATTTTGTGTAATATAATTAAAAATAATTTTATCTATTAACATTTATTAATTTTATATGTATATAATACAACACATTGGCACGTAAACTAGCAACAATAATCAACATTTATTACAGAAATATAAACACAATATAGTATACAATAGCTAAGTTTCAGATTTTATATAAATATGTCATTCTACATTTCATGTAATTATATGCGTGTATATATATATATATATATATATATATATATATATATACACAAATATATAAATTGCTGCATTATATATAACTTTAAATATATTTAACTAATATTCAGGTATTTTTCCTCACACATATCTTATTATCATAATCTCATTTTTCTTTTATTTTTATACAAAAGCTCCTTGTTAGTTACTTTTGCTTCTATTTGTTCTTTTACATATATATATACAATCTATTTTTTATATTATGAATTTATTTATTTATTATATATTGTTCTCATTTTACATTTACAACAGTTTAAATAAGTACTGGCACTCTTCAATAATCCTGAATAAATTCTCTATATTATTATTTTTTAATCTTAACATATATAAATTTAATTTTAATTAAAATTTAATTCCAATTCAAATTGTGCTTCTATAGAAATTCCTTTAAACTTTGTATTACATCTATTGTTATAACAAACATTTTGTGCCGATCGCAATTATTGCGAAAGATACCAATAACAATTTATTATTGTTGTAATATTTTTAAGAAGGAGTATAATTGTGAATAATATTACTATTGTACAAAACTTAATCATTTTTTATGAGAACTATTAAAAATTTGTAATAAATGTGATATAATTTCTTTAGCCTACAAAGATAAAATCCTTTTCATTTTTATTTTTTTTTTTATTCATAAAAATGTAATGTGTATTGTACTCTCTATCTCTTTCTCATAATTATCTTTTTTAATATTAAATAAATACATTTTAACTATGATTTGATGATTTATAGTATAAAATCTGTTTTCCATTCTATGTTATAGATATTCAACTTTTATGACATGATTTATAAGATTATCGTAAAACAAAAGAACAATTCATTTTTTTAAACAATATTTTAAACAAAATAAATTAAAAAAAAATGTTACTGAATAGTACAAAATATTGATAACTATGTTATCAAATTTTTTAAAACTTGTTATATAAAATAAAATGAAGCTATTGGTGTTCAATAAATTATAAATCCCATATGGCAGTGATTTCATAGTTTCTTAAAAAAATAGATTATGGCTACTTTAAAAAACATAAAAATGAGAACTATTTGTAAAAATATACATGTATAAGATTATCGATTAAAATAAATTTTCTATAAAAAAAAAAAAAAAAAAAAAAAAAAGAAAAAAAAACCCAGTACATTATTGCATGCAGTAACCTTAAACATTCAAAAATTAAATTATACATTAATCGGTATGATTATGCGTGATACTGATATCAGTCCTTCTGTAAGTTACAATAGAAAAAAAAAATCACTTAATATAAAATCTATTATACATACGTATTTTTTTTTTTTAATATATAATTTTAAATGGAATATTTGACAAACAATTGTTTTGAAAAGACGTATGGGCGTACAAAATCTCCGTTAGGACGATTATTTGAAATAGTTAGGCACGTATATTATATTAACTTCATCTTCAATTTTATGTAATCTATTCTTTCTTTTTAATGTGTGTGTGTGTGTGTGTGTATGCGTGCGTGCGTGCACGCACTCACGTGTATATATATATATACACACATATATTTATCTAATATCTTCTTTGTACATCTTCTAATCCTCATCATTGGATTCGCTACTGTAAGCTAACTGTTCTTTCCACCATTCTCGGACTTCAAGCATGACGCTAGAAATTTTAGGAGTACTTAATTTAGAATTTACAGGTTCTCTCTGCTGTCTATTTTGTTCTGTATTTTCTGTGAGATGCGGTAAATTATTTTTTACTGTAGCTGAAAGTATAAATGAAATTAGAAATATTAAATTATGCTTTAGAGTGTTGATAAAGTTCAATAAAATTAATTTACGTGGTGGTCTGTTGTTTCTTTTCTTGGATGGAGGGATTTTATCTTTATCAGATCTTACAGAAGCAGGATCTGATAATGTTGGAACAAGGTATTTTCTACCTGATCCACTTCCAATACTGTCAGATCTTGGCAATACTACAGGCTTTTTTGCTTTATGACGCAATCCATCTACATCCTAATAAAATTAATATAATTCATTGTAATTATGAAATATAAATATATTTGTAACACACATACGCTCTCGCGCGCATATATGTATATGAATATAACTCACTTTTCCTTCGTCTTCTTCTTCACGTTCCTTGGTCGTTTCTTTACTTTTAACTTCAATAAAATCTTGTGGAGTTATAGCGACATCATTTGTAGCACGAAGGCCTGCGATAAGACTATTTTGTTGCTTCTAAAATGCATATCTATATCGATTTTTTGTTCTTACAAATTATTTAAAAGCATTATGATCTTTAATTCAAGTTTTACTTTTACATTTAGAACTATGCAAATATAAATGAAATTATTTATCATACCCCTACCGCTCTTATCTTCTTTAAACATCCTTCCAACCAAGTCCTAATTGTTTGTTTTGCAACTTCTTCTTCAATAATATATTCAAATTCTTCTCTTGCAAGTAATTCTTCTAACTGAAGTGCTTTTCTAATATCCACTGAACGATAAGATAACATGCTGTAAAAATAAATAATACATTATATTTTTCCATTCAGAATAGAATTATCTTATATGATTTTAATATATATATATATATTAAAATATATATATGATAAAATATATATATGAATATTAATTTGACGTTTATTTAAACATACTTAATAACATCATGAAATGTAACATCTTCTCCATTGTGAAGTCTTTCCAATTCATAACACATGTATTTGAACAACAAACGATCTTTCTGCGGATCTGTTTCTAATCTTCCTTTCAATAATCGTAAAATAAACTTTACCTATGGGAGATCAAATATCATTATTTGTCATTATTAATAAGTAACAATATAAAATATAAAAATTGTTAAATAAACATTTTTTATAAACATACCCTTTTTACTGGTATGACACCTTTCTGATGATTATCAACGACATTCCAAGTATTTTGAAAGTTTCTAATATCTGCATAAGAAAGTAATGCGTCTTCTTCGTTTGAATAGAATAAAGAAAAATTTTCCATGATAATAGCTGTTAAAAATAAGTTTCAATAATTTTACAATTTATATTTATATATTTATTATATTTGTAATATTTACAAATAAATAATTAAAGAGTAAATATATTTTATATTTAAACATACCTACTAAAAGATTTAGGACGATATAAGTAATAATTACATAAAATGTACAGAAATAAATTAGGGATGCATGAAAATTTCCACAGTCTGTTTCCCAATAATTGGCAGCAGGAGTACAGTAAGGTGGCTGAATCATACAATCATGCATAATTTTATTCCAATCTTCTCCTGTGACAATGCGAAATAGCATAGCAACACCAGTAACGGGTGATTCAAAATTAGCGCGTCTGTAAAATATCAAAATATAAATTGATTTACTTTTTAATAATTATAAAATTATTGTGTATCATTTAAATTTGTCTATATTATACCTTCCTATTCCTTCTCCATATTTTACTGTTCCAAAAATAATAGTTCCTGCTAGTGCATAGAAGAATACCAAGAGGAACATTCCAAATATAATGAAGAAACTTTTGCAAACAGATACACCAACAGTCAACATCAACATCTTGAGTGTTGTATGTTTGCCAGTGATTGTAAAGAATCTAAGAATTACAACCATGAAGCCAATAAGATATGATAAATCATTCTGTAAAAGAGAAATTTAATTAATTTGTATATTATATTTTTAAAACAATTATAATAATAAATTTATTTTAACATACCTTCATTGTACAATGAATGATGATCCAAATAACGCCCACGACTGTCACGAGCAAATCATATCTGTTTCTTCTGGACTGCCAATAGCCACGTGGTGTAAAAGCAATGTTTTTCATAATGACTTCTATGAGGAAGATTAGTGTCAGAATCGTGGACACCGTAGCTAGAGCTTCCGTGTGTTTTTCCTCGATTCTCCACTTGAGATAAATAAAATAAAATACAATTAATATAATTACGTTACTTTTACCACGGTCTAATGGTAGCCGGTAAGGAACACATGATTCAAAGCAACAGTCTTTGAGTTCTTAACAGAACCAATGACTTAAATATCATTTTTTTTTTTCACACTTTATATAATTTCCTTTTTTATAAATAAGAATAATCATTAGCAGAATAACGTTTAAGTTTCAACTCACAGAAACGTATAGCAGACCGCTGTTTATAAGTACCATTACTGCAATGAATCTTTTAAAGTAAATATTTTGTGTAATATCATAAATATATGCTCTAAACTTTTTGCCATCAGGCCGTGGTGGTAAATGTAAGGGTTGGGCAATCTTCAATCGTTTTTTTAAATCACACCTAAAAGATAGTACGAATAACGTAATATTTTCTTAAAAAAAAAAAAAAAAAGAAAAGAAAAAAAGAAAAGAAAAAAAAGAAAAAAAATCATTGCGTGAGTTGTAAATATGCGAAATTACACTTACCATCTTCTTTGATCAACTGTTAATAAAGCTGTACCTTTATTTTCAGAATAATTTGCTATAACAACGCCCACAAAAAGAGTTAAACCAATCATACAACCAAGGAAGATATAAATATGAATATAGATTGCATGTACCTAAATGACGTATACATAATTACTTTAATTAGCCGATATTTAGTTTGTAATATGATCTTTCTTCTATTAAATCAAAAATGATTAACTTACCGGGCCAAGAGCTTTAATTAGGACATCTCTAACATCAAGCCAACCTTTGAAAGAAAGTACTTCAAAAAGAGCCATCATAGCATCGCCTATATTATCAAAATTAAATCTTCTTGGATTTGCCCTAAAATACAATGTAAAAATTTATATCATAATATACAACAACAATTAATGTTATATATTAAAGCTTACCATACACGAGGTACTAATATGGATGGATAACTTTCATTTTGTCCTGGTCTTAATTTCATCTTTGTTACAAAAACTCTTCTCATGAATACTCCAACACAATTTTCTCGTTTCAAAATAGTAGGATCATTGCAACGTGCCAACCTACCGCCATAAAGTTGAACACCATAACTTGCAAATATAAACATGAGTAGTATTAATAAAGTGGATACCTAAAAAATTTTACAATATTAGAGGACATAACTTAAAAATTTAAGGATTATTAAAAACTATTTAATTTAATTATGTACCAGTAATATTTCCTTGAAACCTCTACATAACTCATAAACAACTTTTCTCATATGTGGCACGAGAGTAAATATTCTTAAAGGTCTGACACAGCGTAAAATCATAAGCAATTGAGCACTAGAATTTGGAGGTACACTTTTGGGCATCCAACATAAAAATACAAGGCTTACCTAAAGAAAAACAAAAAAAAAAAATTTACAAAAATTATGATTTTTTTTACAATCAAATAATTGATCATATTGATCTAAAAAAAAAACTTACAATATAAATGAAAACATCAAGAACTGAAGCGACGTCTTTGATATAAGCTTTTGGTGTAAAAAATAAGCCGTCTGCTAATATTTTCAAAGCTAATTCTATGCTCATGAATATTACAAAACCATATTCGGCTATTTGTAGTGCAGGAATTTCCATTACACGATATCGAGGAGTTTCAAACATCATAGAAATACAAGATAAAGTTGTTGCACATATCATTACCCAATCGAGATATGTAACTAATCCTAGAAAATTGCTGAAAAAAGATGATAAATTATTTATAATTTTCTAATTTCACACACACATATATATATCTAAAATTAGAAAATTATAAATAATATATATATATATATACATACATAAAATTGAATAAAAGCAAATAAATATAAAAAATAATGATCCAAAATAATACTTACTGTAAACTTTTATATTGTACTTTTCTTTCTTTCCCCGTCAAAGGATCTTTTAATCTTGCATCATATCTTGCATAAACTAACAATTGACAAATTTTACGGAATTTACTCTCACGTGGTACAGCGAAAAGTGGTGTATCAAAGAATGGATGATTTTCTCGTAAGTCGTCTTCTCGTTGATTTCTATTAAAAACAATTTAATTATTAACAACAATCATTAATAAATATAATCAATACTTATTACCTTCTCATTTCTGCTTGTTGTCTTTTTGCTTGTAATAATTTAATATCTAAATCATGTGGTCTACTTCGAGATGAGCTAACTCTATTTATTCCTCCTATATCTCCATTTTCCATAAGATGTTCATAAGTTTGCTTCAATTTAATTGATCCACTTCGAACACTTCTTCTTATAGATCTGTCAGTAAGATTATTTTTTTAAATTTATATAAATTCACTTCGTTATATAACATTAATTTCATTTAAATATATTCATATTATTATTGTTATTTTACTTCTTTTGATCAATACGGAGTTGCTTAGCACTGCTAACTGTACCCTGAGGCTTTAAAAGTCCTTTTCCAGGAACTGGTATCATCGCAGAATCTCCCAATAGAAGTCTCTGATTATTTGAATCGCTGCACAATTTTATAATTGAGAAAATATTACAAGATAAAATACGAATTTAAATAAAATTTATAGACTTACTTTATTATATAAATAACAGCTGCTTTTTTTAAGCTGGTAACAACATTCCTTACTTTTGGTGGATTATTTAATATCTTAACAGGACGTTGTTTTCTATATATTATTTTCGAATCAAAAGTCTCATTTATCTTCTTTGCACCTTCATTCTCATCGTCTTCTACTTCTAATACAAACTGCCGCATAAAGCTTTCACGAACCTAATAAAAATTAACAATATTTGTTATATAATTAAGAAGAATATATTAAAGAATAGATAGAAATTATTTAGAGGAGATAAAAATATAAATTTTTTTTACTTTTGGAAGATTAAAGTCTGATGGTACTTTGTGCAAACAAGTCATTTGTGGACTATCAGGAAATTTTTCAAAAATTCTTAATCTAAATGGCAGAGTCTCCTTTATTTCTGCACTTTGTTCACGAAATTTCAATTGCTTCAATTTTTTTATATCTTCATCCAATTCAAGATTATCCAAAATTACAGCAACAAAAAGACTTAAAACAATCTGCAAAGGAATTAGTTAAAAATTAAATATATATTTACAATATTTTGTATAATAATGATAATATTACCAATGTGACAAAGAGATGATATAAAATAAAATACACAGCAACAAATGGTGCCATAGTCTCATGTGTTCTTAACATAGTTTCATCCATAACATCAACCCAAGCTTCTTGAGTAAGTATTTGAAACATAGACATAAAGGCCTGAAAAGAATAATCAATATAAATCATTAAATAATAAATCCTTGAGCAATTAACAATTATTATAATATAATTTTGTACTTTTTACCTCAGGAAATGTTTCAAATTTAGTAAAGTCACATAGAAAACAAAATAGTTGCATAGAAATACTGGAAGATATCACCAACAGGCACATGGTGAAGATGATAAGACTACCTAATTTTTTTCCAGGTCCAAATATTTTGTATACAAAATCTTCTAACATTGGAGATGCTTTAATTAATCTAACCACTCTGAGAACCTGTTGAAAAAAAATATCCAATAAAAAGTAATCTGTTTTTTTTTCGTCTTTAATATATTTTCAATGTATATTATATTATATGTGTGTTCATTATGAAAATGAGATAGATATAAAGACCTGGAAATAAGTGAATGCAGAAAGATAGCAGACTGGAATGATGTGAATAGTTGTGCCAATTGCAAGCAACAGTTCAAATTTGTGGATAGAGTGCTTGTAATAACTTCGAAAACCAAGGCACCAAATTTTGAATAAAGTTTCTAAATCCAGAAAGATTGTAAAAGCAATTTCAGCATAATAATAATTATCATAATAAGTGTGCCTTGGCTTCTCATCATGTTTGAAACTCATTGTTGCTGTAGTTATACCATTTGCTAATATGATACACATTACGACCATACGAAAATGTGGTGATCTGAGAATTGCATGACAAATTGGTGATGCTAATCCTCCATGTTTATTTTCGTCCAAAGTTACCAATTTCCAACCATTATCATCACCAGTTAAAATCTAAAAAGATATTAATTTGATCATAATTTATAATATAATATATAATATATATATTAATTGGTGAATTATAGATTTTTAAATGACCTGTGATGCCGAGCTATTGCTAATATGTCCTCTCACACCCCACATTTGTTGAAATTGCACTCTAATTTCATTAAAAGTTTCAGTAATAACAGCAATAAAAACATTTTTAACTAGCCAAGCAAGAAAGAATATCATAGTACTAAAGTAAAGCACAGCGCGCCAAGCAGGCAAACTATCAATTGCACGATACATGATAAAAACCCATCCTTCTTGGGAAGCAGCTTGATAGACTGTGAAAATGCTAGTAGCTATAAAAAAAAAATCACATCAATTAATAATATAAATATTCATTATTGTAAATATAAAAAAGATTTATTTTTACGAAAAATTATTTAACATTAATTATAATATATTACCAAATTCATCAAAGCCATTAAAACCCATAATGTATTTTGATAACTCCAATTTCATACACATCATTCCTTCAGGGCATTGATATCCTGATTCTGGATCAGTAGAACAAAATGTATCAGGTATAGCCAAACTATTTATTGTAATATGATGTGGATCTGTAGTGTTTAAAACGCAATGATTTTTAAGTTCACCAAAGAATTGCACACCAAGTAAACCGTATAGAGACATAAAAAAAAGGAAGAAAAGGGTTACATTGTAAATTTGTTGACTCGAACGTCTGTAAGGAAAAAATATTATCTTCGTATTTGTACTTGAAATAATTCTTTATTATTTCTATAATTTCCTTACTTGAAGATTTGATTAATTCTAGCCTTGGGCATGGAGAATTTAAGGAAAACACGAAGAAAACGTATCATAATCAATGGTCTTGGTGCACGTACGATAGATGCATAACTGAACTTCAAAACAAAGCCAAGCATTTCAAACATTTGTAATATGACTGAAAGCCAAAGAAAAATCACCATACTGGCATCGAATTGACACCAGTGATCCTTTAAATAAGATTTTTCTCTCTGGAATTATTTTTTAATATAAAAAATACTGTTAAATCCTATAGTTTTTTTTCTACATATAAGTAAAGAATTTACCTTCAGTATTCCACGAATATACATTTTGGCTATCATTTCAGCAGTAAACAGGAAAGTAACTATCAAATCACAAACAAATGTAATATATTGCAGTGGTGGAATTTCTTCAAAAGTTTTTGGTGTGTTTAAACAAACTGAAGCCAATGATATTAATGCACAGGACCGCATCAGTCTTCTTACCCATAACTATAAAAAAAAAATATAATTAATTTAAGGACTATTTCATTAATAAATTTTATTCAATTATTTATTTTTACCTTATTAACCCATTCTATATCAGCGCTCTCATTGAGGGACTCCTCCGGACCATAATCAGCCAGGACAGGTTCCCCTTTGAGGCTCTGTTTCCGCCCCAACATCATAATTGGTATTATATTCGCAATGGTGATGCCTAAAAGTAAATGAATGACATTATACCTATAACGTATCTATATATCCTAAGATCGTAGTAATATATAACAAATTATCATTTATGTGTACATTATATATTCTGCAATTATGTTCAGATGTTTATTAAAAACTGATTTATCTCTTTATAATCTTTAGTAATATAATAATGATACACGTCAATTGAAATTCAAATAATTCCATATATAAAATAAATCTCGTTATGTCAACACTTTCACGCACCTTTCTTTTGGCAATTCGAATAATGACAGCACTGCCTTTACGGCATTTTATATAGACTACATTTCAATATTAATAAACAACAAAAAAAAAAATATTAACGTTTAATAAACATTTTAACATTAACAAATTGTCGATCTAATGAACATTTTTCAGCTGCGATCAGCCTTTTTCAGACAGCTGAATACTTCGCGGCGAGCATGAGCAGATCCATTTTCTTGAGAACTAATCAATATTCCGAAATTTGTTATCAACCGAACTTAATCATTTTATAAACGGTCTTTATTATTTCGTTACTTTGTTTTATGTAATATATAAGATTTATATAATATTTTTACAAATTTTTTTTTAAACTTGTTTAATTCACATACATATATTTTTTACATTTTTAAGAAAGTACAAAATTTTATTACTTATATAAATTTTTATTATACACTTTTAAAAATTATATGTGAATAGAAATTTAATAACTATTTTTAAAAAAGAAATTATTTATAAATATTAATATCAAAAGAAAAACTATAAATTATTGGTTATAGTCTTAAAATAATAAATGTATATCACTATTACTATTCGATTATAAAATGTATATTAATCACATTTTTTTATTATAAACAATTAAATCTATGTAATCTATAATTACAATACAACTTAAAAATAAAAATGAAGGTATTTATAAGGAATATATAAAATTAAAATTATTATTCTGGCGAGTATTATAATTATTATTCTCTTATTGAAAGATTATTAGTTGTAAAATATAAGTTATCAAATGAGATAACATTACGTAAATTATAACATTATATGAAGTTAATAAACAAAATATTTTTTTGTATGTTAATAATTTTAAAGAAATGGCAATATTGTTTTCAACTTAGTCCTCTTTTATTTTCATATTTTATTTAAAATAAAATATTAAGGAATTAATTGCAGACTATTTAACTGCTTTTCTTATAATAGCCGTCATTTTAGAAAATTCAGAATTTGGATTCGAGAGAAGATTAGTTGGTGTATCCAATTCGAGAATAGATCCATTTTTCATAACAAGAATTTTGTCATATTTCATAATAGTTTGTAAACGATGTGCGATAGTTAAAACAGTACATTCTGCAAATTCATTTTGTATTGTATCTTGAATTGCTGTTTCGGTTTCTGGATCAACTGCTGCAGTTGCTTCATCCAAAATCAATATCTACAATATAAAATATACATAATATAATATATAATGAATAATTTTTACTTGATTATCTTACCTTGCTATTGCGCAGAAGTGCTCTTGTTAAACAAAGAAGTTGTTTTTCTCCAACACTGAAATTATTTCCACCACATTCTACAAACGCTTCAAGTTGACCATTCATTAATTTTACTTTTTCTTTAAGTCGACTTTTCTCAAGAGCACTCCAAATTTCAGTGTCGGAATATTTTTTAAATGGGTCCAAATTAGATCTATTCAAAAATTAAAATGTCTCATTAATTATTTTATAAATATAAAATTGAATCCGATTTTATCTGTATTTTTACCGTATTGTTCCATTAAATAATACTGGATCCTGTGGTATAATAGAAAGTTTATTTCTCAATAATTGTAATTCTATTTTTGATATATCTACACTATCAATTTTGATCACTCCACCACAGATTTCAACCAATCGAAATAAGGCTACTGTTAAAGAACTTTTTCCAGAACCTGTTCTACCTACAATTCCTAAAACACAAATGATATAATAAAAAAAAATATAAAATAATGCATCACATTAGCAGAAATATATTTGAAAATACAAAATCTTACCTATTTTTTCTCCAGTTTTGACGGTGAATGAAATATTAATTAATACAAGTGGTAATTCATTTCTATATTTCATTTGAACATTTTTAAATTGTATTTTACCAGAACTAGGCCAATTTTCATCTACTTTAATTAATGAGTCTTTGGGTGTATCTTCCTTTTCTAAATTCTGAATGTATAGAATGGTATATTATCACTATCAATTATTTTGGTAAACAGTTTGATAAACAAAAATTGTATTACATACCTTAATGTAATAATTTATTCTCTCCATACTGATAAAGCGTACCTCAGTCTCTGACATTAATCTGACAGTATATTGAAAGACACCTGAGATTTGAGTAGCATACGCCATGGCAAGGCCAGCAAGTGCAGCAGGTATTTTGCCTTTTAAAAAGATAATGAAGAATGCTGTGATAGAACAACAAGCAATTGCCAAACTATCCAATCTCACAGCAGACCAACGCATTGCTGCATTACACATGTAAGTGCATAAATTATTGAGATCCAATAATTCTTCAAACCTATATAATAATATAATTTATTGTAAATAATTATCTAATCTTATAGCATGTAAAAAAAATACTTACTTCTTTATAAAATTCTTTTCTTTTTTGAAAGCACGGATAGTATGCAAACCTTGAACAGTGGTTGTAACAAAGCTCAGAACAGGTGAACGTGAAGTACTTTCCATTCTTTTGAAATCTCTCATTGCAACTCTGCAATGTAAATAAATCAATAACTTTTTAATGCATTTTCTTATAAATTGAAAATGATAAGTATTACATAGGATTTACCTGAACATTTTGCTAACCAAAAAAAACACTGTGCCAAGAATAATTAAAGGTATAGAAAACCAAGGGAGAACGAAACATATAAAGAAAATAGCAACTATACAAGTGAAAATATTTTGTATCATATATTCCACTGCCAATGGTAAATAATTGTCCACTATAAATGAGTAACATATTAAATTAAAATTATTTTATATTATACGATTAAAATTATTTAAATTATATTAAATGCATAAAAATATACACGTATATATTTTAGTATATACCTTCATCTATATCTCGACTAAAAATATTTTGTATTCTACCACTTGGAGTGGTTTCAAAAAATTTCATGGGAGATGTAATTATATTTTTGAAAATAGTATTATGTATTGTTGTTGAAGCACGTATTGTGGCATATGTGATTACTAAGCCACGGATGAGGCTTGTCATAATTATAATACCAATACATGTAGCATAAATATTTCGATAATATGTGAAATTTGGATTGTCAATTATATTATCTGATAAAAGAGTACCATTACTGCCAGGAACAGTTGCATTCTTAAAAATATAAAAAAAGAAAAAATTTGTTATCAAAATTGTACTTTTTAATTTATCTTCTATTACTCTGAATTATATAAGATTATCTTTTATATTATATATATATATTCTATTCAGTATTTTCTATTAAAAACTACTTACTCCACCACCTGCTTTGATCCATACAACAAGCCACCATGAACTAAATGCCATACTACCTACATTTGAAAATAATATGGAAAATACTAAAAGGGCCATTAAATATCCACCAGCAGCTTTTATATATGCATGATATGTTTGCACTTTTACAGATCCAGTTTCAACCTTATCTTGTAATATTAAAGTTGTTCCTACACAAATAGAATTAATTATTTATTTTAAAAAGTATAAAAGATAATTTACTACTACCTCCATTATGAATTTTTTTTGAACTTTCTTCATCTTGCTTTTCTTGGGAATTAATAAGTTCAGTGTTTGATTCAGAATCGATATTATCTTCATCCTTATTTATAATTTGTCCATATTGATCTCTATAAAATAATAAAAATTAATATAAATAGTAATATAAAGCTTAAAATAATATACTAAGATAATAATTGTATTAAAATAACATACTCATTTAATTTATGTTTTGATTGTTGCAATATATTGTTTACTATTATAGCATATTCTTTATCCAACTGCATAAGTTCCATGTGCGTTCCGTGCTCGGAAATTGTTCCATTTTGAAGTAGATAAATTTGGTCACAGCATTCCAGAAACTATATAAAATAAAATCTGCCAAAAAACCAGCCTATGATAAAACTATTACTTTATCATTTATTGAAAAATACCTGAATTTGATGAGTAACAAGAACAACAGTTTTTTCTTTCAAAGCATCAAGAATTAATTTATTAAAAATATAATGTCCAACATGTGTATCTACTGCGCTCAGAGGATCATCCAAACAATAAATATCCCTAGGAAATTTAAAATTGATAACTGATTAGAATAAAAAATGAATATTTTAAAGCAAGTGAAATTAAATTGTAAAATCTACCGATTAGCATAAAATGCTCGGGCAAGTGCGACTCTCTGTTTTTGGCCTCCTGATAAATTTATACCTCTTTCACCAATTTCAGTTTCATCTCCTCCTGGTAACATATTTAGATCATCCTTTAAACTACATACTGTTAATGCTTGATAATAACGTTTAGCATCAAACTGTTCTCCGAAAAGAATATTCTCTTTAAGGGTTGCATTGACTATCCATGCTTGTTGGCTGACATATGCACAAGAGCCTTCTCTTGAAAGTTGTCCTTTTATTATTTGCAATTGACCCAATATTGCAAGCAAAAGACTAGACTTTCCACTGCCTACTTGACCACAAATTCCAATTAATTTGCCTTTAGGTGCACCAAATGTTATATCTGTAAGTATTTGAATATACATGTTCTCTTCGGGATGTTTAAGTTCTTCAAGTTCTGTTGTATTGGCATCTGAATCTTTTCTAAAATATTAGAAATATAAGAAAATCAAATAAAAAAGAATTAATATTTTTAATATTGTAGTATTATTATAGTAAGTTATAATTATAGAAACATTTCTTTTTGTCAAAACAAGATTTTTTATTAATATCCTTACTCACATTTTTTTGTTTTTGGATTTATTCAATATATTAGTTTGTTCTTTAGAATTATCAAAAACAAATGTTGCATTAGCAATTGCTATTGATTGTGATTTCATAATAGGTCTTGAAATGCAAATATTGCCTTTGTCCAATAACATAATTTTCTGTATGAATTTAATAACACATTAATCTATCTATATACATAATAATGATATATAATATATATACATTTTTAATATTTAATCACATTCACATAAGCACATACAGTATAATACAGCATTATTGTATACAAATTTTGCAATATTTCTATTACTTTTGTTTCTTCTTATTTATGAGTTTTTAAAATACTATTACCAATATCTTTTCTAAATGCTAAAAAAAAAAAGCTAAGTACGAAGTAAAGAGAAAGAAATTTCTTTACAAAGAGAGAAATTTCTTATATAACAGAATTGTTTTCAAATCTGTAGTCATTAATAAGTTAATTATAATAGCATGCTATTTCCAATACCAAATTTCCATTAAATTACTATTCCTAACATATTCTAAAATTTAATTGTAATAACTTATTTGTTTACAAATAATTTTTATAAACCAAACAAACATTGCTGACTATAACATAAAAAATAAGTATCTATTAATATGAAAAATATAGAATTCAAAATAACGTCACAAAAGCATATTAATAATTATAATGACTTTTGGAATATGTCAATACCTCTTCTTTTTAACATAAAATGCACAATAAAATTGTATGATTTATGACATAAATATACTCAAAATGTTAGTATATATTATGCAATATTAAAATATTTATACATTACAATTAAAAAAATTTACTACACATAATTATAAGTATATATTATGTAAAAGAATTATAAATAATTAATATAACATGCATTTGTAAATAGTTAGTAAAGTGTTATTAATTTAATTAATATTATTAATGTGATAATATTGTATAAAGATATAGAAATAAACACCTTTAATCTGTTGAAAGTTATCTTTGATGCAATAATATTAATTATAGCCACTTGCAAAAACATGAAACTAGTGCGAATTTGAGCATTGAGTAATGATACAAAGGGAAATACCTGAAAAAGCAATGTAGTGAAATATTATTTTAGTAATTCAGAAAACTTTCAACATAAGTATTTTTAATAATTATTTTTTTAGTTTAGTTAAACAGAAATGTATTATATATTTTTAATGCTCTATTTTTGTAATTATAATAAATATGTCTTCCTTTACATATACATTAAAATTATATACAAGATAAATAGAAAGCAATTATATTACACTTTCGCAGAACATTTTTTCCTTTATCTATTTAATCTATAACCCATCACTAAAAGCTTTCCCATATATGCTAAAGTTACATTTGAATTACTTTCATTTACATATTATTATTAGATATAATTCATGTGTATATTTCAATACATTGGGCTATCTAAGTATTTTGATCATGAAGCTTTGACTACATTTTGTTGTTTACTTTTTTATACTTATAATTGTTTTGCAATTATTTGATAGGAAGTTACATCTATTAAATATATATATGTGATAACCTATAATAATGAAGAACTTTAGTTGTGACCCAATAAATAAATGTAAAATTATTTAGTTATAACATTTAAATCTAAGAATATTTATATATGAAGAACAGAATTATCAATCTTAAAAACTATAAAATTGTTAGTATATTGGTAAAATTATTATTTAAAATAAAATTGCACATAAAATACACAAAAATTGTTCTCTTAATAATATGTATAGAAAATATTATTTATTAAATTATATTAGGTCAGTCCAAAAGTTCGTGCGCATTAGTAGCATGTATGTATGTAGCAAAATGCGCACTAACTTTTGGACTGACCTAATATATAAATTATAACAGTTTAAAATTTAAGAAAACCTGAAATCTTCTAAGGGTTATATGAGCGCCGATAATGTATCGCGTAGAATCCTTAAGTGCAACAAGTACCAGTCTCAACTGGTTCCAAAATAAAGATGCGATAGGAAAAGCCTGTAATATGTTCTTCAGTAAGTGCAACACTATTTATCATTGCATATAAAATATAATATTAAGATCTATAAAAACCTTTTTTTCACTATTGTTTTGCAAAATGATATAAATTAATGTATCATATATACTATATAATATAATATTTTCTTAAATATCTTATTTTCTCTCCTTTTTATTTAATGCATATAAATTTTTTATAATTACATTCCATTAATAATATAATACATACCTGTGCAGCTGTTAAATTAAATCCTCCAGAAACATGCGCCAAAAAAGTAATAACAGCGGAGATAATAGGCACAGCAGGTGTCAATGAAACACTAAGACTTTGAAAATATGCTATCTTATGTAGCCAATTCTTTTCCGTTTTACGTATGTCTGAAAAGTAAAAAATTTACTGATTGTATGAATTAATATATAATATTATACCTTTCGTTAATTAGTTAATAATTACTAAGCAGTTTTTGACAAAAATAATTCTCCCACGAATACATTTTGATCATCTTCATAGTTTCAAGAATTTCATTCATTAATTTCACACGAACATCAGTAATTTTTATTGCCTTACTTCGTAAATAACCATTTAAACGAGAAAGTAAATACTGAAATAGAACACACATATTTGTTTATATTATTAAATATTTATATATAACTTAAAATATAAAAATTAATTTATTATATTTCATTTTTTTTTGTACCTGTATAGGGTAAAATAAAAGAAATGCCACCATGCCCAAAAGAGCCATAGGATTGAAGAACTGTAATATATAAATAATACTACAAATGATAATAATAGGACTGGTAACAATCATTGGACCATATAGGATTACATCGAATAATCTTTGACTATCATTGGAAAATAGGTTCACTAACTAGGATAAAGAAAAAGATAAAAAAAAAATTATATATTAGAAAGTACTAATTAAATTAATAAAATAAAAATTGTTAATAAATTATACTTCTCCTATATTTATGTTTCCAACATTATTTAATCCAATAATTCTTTTATACAATAAAGCAGAACAAGATGATTTCAGTCTTAATGCTGTTCTATAATTAACAATCCAAGTCAATGTAAGAAATATAGTCCTCGAAAAATCACACAATGTTAACAATAATGCCCACTTTATTCCATCCCAAATGGTTCCTTCTGGGGATTGTACATATTCTAGAATATTTCTCATTAATATTGCCTACAAATTAATAAATTTTTATAATGTAAATACATGAAACATTAAAACAAAATGAATGTGAGAAAAAAATTTTAACATACAGGACTTATAAAACCAAAAATTACTGAGCAAGATAAAAAAATAGAACTGACAAATACTCTTGTGCGTACAAATTTCCATACAGCCATACAAAATGATGCATTATTAGGACCATTTCTATGTAATTCTTCTTGCCATAGATTTTCTAATCTAAAAGAATTTATACTTCTAAACAATGATATAAAACCTCACACAAAGAAAATTTTCATAAATAAATAATTATAATTTTTTTACCTTTGTAAATTATAAATACAGCTATCATAGGGTGAAATTAATGGAAGATCTGATAATAAAATACCCTTTTTGTATGCTTTCCATAAATATCTTGTCATCCATGTAACAAACATATAAGAAAATAATCCAGCACTATCTGCTGGCATGGTTTCTTTGTCACTAAAAAATATTTGTCATGTACTTGTTCATTGTATAAATTATTATAATCATTATATTCACAAATATATTATACTATTATATATAAATGAATACTTTTGTAAAAATACATACGTTGTTTTAGGACGCATAGGTATAAAATTCTGCATTGCATGATTATATCGTACAATTCCTAAACCAGGAATATATTCCACATTGTGTTTGTGAATAGACAAGTTTTTATTTGGAAGAAAAAAATTTGGTCCATCGTTACCAGATGCTTGACTAAAAAAAAAATAGAAATATAATTTTAATGATAGATAAAGATATTTGTGCTTTACCTCTTATCTGCTTTATTCAGTGGATTATTTTCAATAGCCTCAGTAACAATATTTTTTTCACTTGTGTTTTTAACCATTGTCCTTCTAGAAAATTACTTTCAAATTATAGAAAAATATTTATTGTATTTGAATATATTAACACATCCAGAATGATTTTTGCCTCTTGTTTCTTTCATTTGTAGCATCAAGCATCTCCCGAACTGTTATAAAATACTTTTATGACGTTTATAGATTCATTAGGATTTTCACATCATGTCACTGATAACGTGTATATTCTAATCTTTCTTAATCAAAAAGACAAGGTTGAATAAACATAAAAGCGTTGTTTCATGCTTTAATCTTTGATATAAATTCGTGTCCTACAAATAAAATGCAATGAATGAAATAAATTAACTAAATCTTTTGTCTCCTTAACCTTATTTCGTATAGAAAATAACAATATTTTAATAAATCCGTGTTTCGTTTTTCAATATAGATATTGTTATATTATGGTTAAGTATTTTATTTCCTTGCCTTTTAAAGTAATCATGATTTGATTGACTGCAATTGTGAGTAGTATATCTGATACGTTAGTCGCGTGACATTGCTGTCACATTGTGCCACATCACATTATTACCATAAAATAATTATACAAAATATTAAGCTGTGGTTAGTTATAAAATAAATTCTATACATTTTAAAGATGTTTATATATATATATATATATATATATATATATATATATATATATATATATATATATATATATATATATATATAAACATATATATATATATACTAATCGCTTATTTCCATAAATACGATAATTAATATTATTTCATTATATATTTATATATATAATATATAAATATCATATTTTTATAATGCAATAATATTAATTATAATAATTATGTAATATTAATATGAAAATAAACGATTAATATACAATTTCAAAATATTCATATACATCCACAGAGAAACACTACACACATATTTAAACGATGATCACTAAGTATTTAAAGATAATCTATTAAATTAAATTGAAATGTTTCTTTGTTATTATTATAATATATGTACATGTATATACCAACATATCTATAAATTGAATATATACTTAATATATATACTTATATATCTCTATATATTTAATATGCTGCTATGTCTTTTATTTTATTATCCATGCTTAGAATTGTTTTTTTTTATATTGTATATAAAAATAATATTATAATGCATCAATTGTTACAATCTACTACACGAGAAATTGTGTTTGATATCAATACTTATGAAAAAGAAATATATTAAACATCTAGCAATGAATGCATTGTTAAATATAGTGTAGGTATTATCATAAAAAGATTGAATAAGAAGATAACGTTTTTATTTACTATCTTTTTAAAGCACAGTTCACATTCGGCATTCATTATTACTATTTTATTTCATACACATGGCATAGGCTCGATTTCCACATATACAAAGTAGAATTTATAAAGGAACATAAACATATTCGCAATCCATATGCGACATTCGTAATCGTAAACAAAAACTAAAGAGTATTATATTTTTTGAATCAATGAAACGATGCTATTAATCTTAGATACAATTTTGTGCATATAGCATATAAATCACCTATTCGGATCTTCCCATTACATCATTTAATAAAATAATGAATATAAGAATTTATATTATATTGTATGAATTTAAATGATTTTTTTTTCTTATAATTTCATATAAAATAAAAACAAAATATAATAACAAAGTGCCTAATGAAATTTGCACTAACTCGTTGCAATGAATATTTATTACAAATCTGTTAATATTGAATTATTTTTAAGCGAAATAATTAATAAAACAAAATATTATATTTTCAATATTAACTGTGATTTTTTAAATATGTATTTTTAAACATGTTTTCTATATTTCGTAAAAAACATTCATGAATAGAGAGGGCACTTTGCTTATGTATTTTTTTACTGATATGAATTATAAAAAGAGCACAAAAAAATTAAAACAAATTTAAACAAATGAGCGAAAAGAAATGCAGCACAATCTTTAAACAAAATAAATCATTAAATCATATACTAAGAATTTTAACGCATATTGTTTGTATGTCTCAATGAAATCTATTACAATCAAATCTAATTAATTGTCAACTTGTTTAATAACCAGATTTTTTTATCATTATAGACCTTAATCAATGAACCTAAAATATATGTATATATAAAAGAAAAAAAATATATAATTTCTATGCTCAGTATCATTTGCAAAAGGTAATTCCATATGCGTCAATATTTCTCAAGTTAGAACATTGATTCTTTAAATCTTAAATCATCTTATATCCTTCTTCGTATAGAACGTAAGAAACCTGGCATTGAATCTCAAAAACTGTTGTAATTACTACCTCCTAATTGACTGCTGAATCCTCTATTTGGAGAATATCCTGGCCTAAAGTTATTACCCAAACCTAAAATCAGATATGTACAATAAAATTTCGTATGTAATAAATTCAATCTTGCATATAAAACCTTCATAATTTTATATATTTATAATTATTAATTTAAAAAACTATTTATATACCTCCACAAAAGTTTCCAATACCACCCAAAGACATTCCACTAGAACTACTGCTAGAGTTAAGGAATAACTCAATATATCTGTAAGACATGTGACTTTTATCCTGTAAGGATAAAGAAATATATAAATATTATATGAATATAAGAAATCGGATAATTAATTGATCTATAACAATACATGAATCAAAATTTTTTAAATCAGAATAATCCAAAATTCTTTTCTCAAGCTATTATATTATTCTTTTAGATAACTTTTAATAAACTTTCTTGTTTTTTCATACATAATAAATTATATAATTAAAGAGTAAAATGATACATAATTAAAGATTTGTTCACCTTGCACATTGCTCTAACTGCTTCTTCGTGGGTTTCAAATTCCACATCTGCTTCACCAGATGGACGTCCACCATTTTCCAAGAGAATTTTAACATTAATCGGTACAACAGGTCTGAAAAACTAAATTTACATATATATGATTAGCAAAAGATTACTCTAATTATAACTTTTTGATTGATAATTTTTAATTGATAATAATATCAATATATTTACATCTGCTATATCATCCTCCGTCGCTTTGAATGGTAAACCTCTCATATGTATACTATGAACTCCAGTATTGCTACCCCAATTATCACCACTTCCTCTAAAATTTCCTCCTTTCATATCCATTCCACCACGCATACCCATTCCACTTCCACGCGAACTGAAATTATTTCCACTTCCCCAAGGACCACTATCAAAATCTGCAATATATTGTATGTAAAAGTAAAAAAATAATTATAACTCTCTTAATATTTATTTAAAACTGATAAGTACCTCTATTTCTAGATCCTCTACCATTATTACTGAAACGATTCATGCCCCCAAAACGATCACCACGATCATAAGGTGTAGGTCTCTGATTAAATCCACCCATTGGGCCGCCACGCATTTTTGGTCCTATACTAGCACGTACTTCAGATAAACTACTCCGGAAGATTTCAATGTACCTGTCAATAATTAAATGTATTAATGAGTATGTTTTATGCATTAAATTGATGGACTATTATTTCTTGATAATAATGTAGTTAAACATTGAAAAGTATATAACTTCAAAAAAGAGACAATTAATATTTGCAAACTATTTGTTCAAATTCATACCTTCAATAAGTCAAAAACTGTAGTGCTTTTGTATAAGGAGAAAAAATTAAAAAAAGAAAACCTCATATTTCGAAAACTTTGTTGTAATGAAACAACTAAGCATACTACACCTCCACATTTATTTTAAATTTCTGTTGACACCCTCCCACGATGACATTGCTTTGTGATGAATTTATGCCAACCCTAGCCCTTGTGATGCTAGGTCTTCAGGCAAACAACACTTGCAATCGCACTTCTTACAAAGTGAATTTTCTTATGAGTTTATTATAAATGAATTATCCAATAAAATTTTTTCTTATTCTATTTCTTTATATAATTAAAATAGAAACAAAGACAAAAAGTAATTCAGAAATACTTATGGCTTATTTAAGAATTTTAGAAATGTATAATCTTGTACTTTGTAAGAAAAGTACAATTGTTTGTATCAGACAGAAGTACCAAATTGATCTTTACTACCTCTGTAGTGCCTACCCATCCTGGGGCCCTACCCACCTCCCATGGGATTTGATGATGATGTCACGGGATACTTCCCGCCCGGCACCCACCCACAGGTTTCAGTTGGGCCAACAGTACTTTTGCTTACGTATGTTTAGCCTTATTTTGATTTTACCCTCCTAGAGGCAGTTTCTTTACACAATGGTTACTTTCTGCATTAACAGGATATGTACCATAATATTGAGCGAATAGAAATAAACTGTGTCATATATTAAAATAATTTCTACAAGTTGTGAATTTAAAGAAACTGCTTCTGTATTTAAAAACTGATTCCCGCTATTAACTAACAAAATGTATATACCTACATATACTACGATCATATAAAAATGATATTGAAAAATCATAAATATACCCAAACCCAGCTAGCGTCAGTGCCCCACCTGTGTCCTATCTTTTCCTTGTGTTTCTGCAGAGCGCGCTCCGCAACATCTTTGTTAACAAATTGAACGTAAGCCTCCCCAGTACTGCGGCCCGTGTAGTCTGTCGGTAGTGAAATCCCGTTCGGCAATATCTCCAACCCTGACCCACACATAATCAAACATCGATATTGTAGCGTATCACCCAATTATTAGTTAAAGTATCGAGTCAATGTACTTATCAAACCCTTATAAAGCCAAATTTACTTAGCCTTTGCAGATATTTATTAAATTGTCTTACTCCAATTTCATATTCTTTCTAGCAAAGATGAAGTAGAAGCAAAACTTTTATATTTTAACTCAGCAGTTCAATGCTATGTTATGGAATCAATATACGTCATAATTAAAAAAAAAAATTCACGATATGATGTAAATAAAATGGATAGTAATGATATGTAGAAACACAGAGACACTGCTTGGGATGGATAAGAATTTGAATGTATTAATTAATTGATTGGTAAATTACATATACTCATTAATATTGAACTAACAAAAATCTCTGCAAATATAATGAATATATTTTTAAATATGATCTTAATAAATTATGCTGAAAATCTATTTATTACTTAATAATTATTTATGCTGCAATAAAATAAATTTTATTAATAATGTTATTCATTTATGATCACAATGTATTATGTAGTATTGATAAAAAATAATATAGTATAAAAATGTTCATATATTTAATTGAAAATTTAATCAGAAATAAAAATTGCTTATAATTTTATTATGATAATGTTTCTTTTACCATTTATTTCATTGCATATTGTTAACACATGCACACACACATATATTTTTGGTACTGCTACATATTATTGACAATTACAATAAAAATATTATATAGTGGAACCATCAAAAGCATTTAGTCCCTGTGATTCAGAATTATAATAATATTATGATTTATGTTCAGCAATATGTGCCCTAACAGAAATGAGACTATTTAAAGTTAAAGAAAGAAATATGTGCTAGACAATTTTTTGAACTCAAAGCATATAGTACTTAGTAAAAACTGTCAATCATGAACAAGAAAAACAAAGTATATTAATATGTAGATAAGATATGATAAATACCTGAGAAAAATTGTGCTATTTCTTCTTTAGAACAACCAAATGGTAATCCACGCAATCTGACACAGCCATCATCCATTGCATTTTCTAAATTTAAGCCACTTCGTTTGATTACCCATTCCATTTCACCTCTTTTTGCTTTAAAAACTATAAAAGTAATATAAAACATTAAGTTAAAGCCAAAGAATAATTTTTTTATTATGAATATAATAAAGTACATAATACGTGCGTATATATAATAGTACAGTATATGTATTAAATAATAAAAGCTATATGAAAAAATAACTTTATAAATTATTATATACGGTATTACATATACCTTCAATATATCGATGTCCCATATGATCTCTATCCCTTTTACAAGCTTTTTCAATGTCTTCTGGAGTGTCCATTTCTACATAAGCTTCTCCGCTAGGTCTTCCCTCCCGTGACATAGTCATATGTACTCCATCTTTTCCATTAGTGATGGAACAATCACCAAAAAATTTCATAATCTCATCAACAGTTGTAGACCATGGAAGTCCACGCATTTTAACAACGTATCCCTCGTCGTCGTGATCTCCACCACCATTTGACATGTTTTATACTTAAAATTATAATAAAAATATATTGAATATAATCAGTGTGTGTTCCTAGTTTGCTAAGAATTAGATTATTTCTAAACATTTATTTGTTATACTTATTGTTTATATATATTATTCTAACCAATTATTCTAACACTTTATTAGATAACTATATAGAACAGACATAAATCTAATCTTACACTATAGTTTAGAAAATCGTGTTTCTAAAAGTATTATCTTGATATTATTAATTTTGTGATATGTAAAATAAAGATTTCATGACAAAAATGAACTATACAGCAATAATCTTATGAGACGCCCTAAGTTGCGATATGTTCTACGGTAATCAAGTATTAAATAAATAAGAAAATTGTAAATCTTACTTTATTTCTGTTTATGAGAAGCCAAAACTTTCTGATTAAAAGTAATAAAGTATAATGACGAAAATTCAAGGACAATTTCGGCAGATGTTTTATACTACTACCACAAATTTCACAACGACGACATCAACTGACAAAATGGCGCTCTCCTAAATGGCTTCCCTAAAACTTCGTTCCCATGCAAACCGCTTACATATATATATATATATGTATACACATATTTCTTTCATGAAAACATGATGCAAGTTTAAGTTGCATTTAAATTAAAAATTTTCTTTGTATTATTGTTGCAATTTGATTTTCCTTTCAAAAATAAATAATAATTACTAATAATTTACTTAAGTTAAAGGCGGCAAAAATAACACATATGAATTGATTATGTCAAGTTATACTACGATCGATTACTACGTTAGTGTCAACATAACTAAAAGTATCGTACAATATTTACAATATCTACAATATTCTTTGAATCGAAATATAAGGTAGTAGTGCGTCTTATAAATTTAGTTATAAAAACTTAAAATAAAAAGAACCATCATCTCTCTCTGTCTTACTCAGGGTTGTATATAGAATCATAAGGACCCTGAGTAAATAATTCTTCTTTATTAATTTCTAGATAAACTTTATAACTTAAATAAATAATACAATTTTTCCTTTTTTATTATTATTTAAAAAATAAGAATTGTTTGTAGATAAGTAACCATATAAATTTCACCGATTGTCATAAGATGCTTATTTTATATCATACGACATTGATCCGTTATCATAGAAATGAATCGATGATATCATGTTTTCAAAGAAAAGGCACAATATGAATAAATATTTTTTTAATAGTTGTACATGAAATTTTACATTATAATTTTAAAGCATTTTTATTTGTTCGATTTTTTCTGTATCAAGAAATTATTATTAAGATATTTGTATGAAGAAATAAATAATTACATGAGCATTTTACATTTCGTTATTTTATAATATATAAAATAACAAAGATAAAATAATAATGTATATATAAATACAAATAGTATAGTAGAATCTAAGTTGTTATTGTCGTACAAAAAATTAATAAAAATAAAAAAATTAAAATTATTCTTTATAAATATACTTTCTTCTTATTAATATCTTTATCTTTAATATATATATATTATATAACTATATATTTATATTTTAATAACACAGTTCATATTTATATATATATATATATTTGTCCTTCTTTTATTGGTGGCATTTCTCTCTTTGAATTTTATTAGCTACTTGAATTTGTAAATAACAAAAAGAAAACATTCTCGTTTTTATGGAAAACTCTAGGATGAGAAATTTCATCAATAGATTTTTTCATTGAACGAATAAAAAACTATTTCGTTCAAATAATTTTATTTCGTTAGATTCTAATTTGTCGTTTATTTTTTTTTTGGTTTCAAATAAAGATCTCGAATGAGCATTGATGTCATCGAAGGAATTTGTTTTTTATTGTGATTTGCCAAATTTTCATTATTGTGCGAAATGAATTCAATAGCCACTTTTCGTGCAGTTATAGTTAATATACTGAGGAGATCTTTAGTGTTCGCATATTGTTCTAAAGTATCACAAAGAGATTGGATGTAACATGAACCATATTTTTCGTTTCTAAAGGAATAAGAACCTATAGGGAGAGATAGAGAATTATATATATATATCTCATAATAATATATGTATAATATATTATAAATAATATATTATAACATAAAGAATTTCATTAAAATTTAAGATATATATAGAATAATTTACTCGATTACCTTCTATCGTACTGTGTCCGATTAAAAAATCTGCATGTGTAGGAATTTTATAGGATGTAGACGAATCTGTAACGCTAATATCTGCATTACAACGTAATTCAAATGGCTCTTGCGTATTATTACCTCTACATGCCTGAAAAAAGTATCATATGTGAGAACAAAAAAAGAATAATGAGCAATAGCGGATACTTCAATCTTAAATAGTGAAATTAAAATGATTTGTAACCTGAAAAAAGAACAGCTTTGGTTTACCCGCAAGTGACGTACATAAGTCAGCGCTAAAAGGTTTCCAAATATATGAAGTACTGTACGCAACATCTTTCGAATATAATAAATCATTTGAGGTACCATGGGTCAATACAAAAATACAAATGCAATCATTTTTAGAATGATCTTCATTACTTACTAAAAAAAAAAAAGCAAAAGACTTTTTTATTTATCATAGATTGTATGAACAATGATATATATATACATATATATATATATATATATACATATATATATATATATGTATATATATATATATCTGTAAGGGAAAATCTCACATGTCACAATTTCAAAAAATTTAATTTTATGAATTAATACTGTATGTATTAGATCTATATCAGAAAAAATACCCATGCAAACAAATTTCAGGATAAATATTTTGAAAGGGAAAACATGCGACATGCGGCGTATTTTTTTACAATTACAAATATTAAAATGAAGAAGAATATACGTACGTGTAGATATCATATCTTTTACTTCCATGTAGGTTAAATCGTCATATTTCAAAACTTCAAAACCAAGCTGCGTAAAGACATCTTTTATTCTCATTGCATCAATATTTGTACCTTTTCGTTCATCTAAATTTATTTCGAAGATAGCATGATTAAAAATCACACATTTTCCACGATTATCATAATTCATATTATATAAAAGATCATGTGCGCCAACTATAGGAGTAGTGCGGGATATTTTCGGAGATCTTAAATAATAAGATTTAATAATGAAATTATATTCAATTAATTAAAAATTTTTATATGTTAATATTAAGTATTCATATAAAAGGATTTTAGAAAAAAAAAATAAAAAATTAAGATAATTACTCATAGTAATTATTGATGGTTCTAAATTCAATAGCATCGACTACGTCATTTGATCTTGAAGTTGAAATAAAATTCGGACTTTTATTATCATTTTTATGTACAAATTGTAAATCTGCATCAATTCTTACCTATAAAAAGGAGATGAAAAAATCGATTTTTATTAGCCAAATATATCCATTATGTAATAATATATAATTGACTGCAAAATTCCAAAAGCTTTATTATAAAATATGCAAAAAGAAATAAATATATATATACATATATATTATGTATGTATATATGTATATATGTATGTAGTGTCCAAATACCTGAGTAATAGTTAACTTTCTATATTTAAAATACATTTCCTTAATAATTAGACTTCATACTACTAAATAAATATATAATAAATAATAATACGATGTATATAACCTTATTAAATATTTTTTCTTTTTGTTTTGTCAAATTAATTAATTTGGCAAATGAGTGATTCATATATATATATATATATATATGCGTGAGATTATCAGAAGAGATTATAGATAAGATATAATGCGGGATATGCTACCAAATAAATTACTATAAAAGGAATTGCACTATGTCTGTTTATAATTTGATGTATTTATTATCTAGACAAAGTTTAAACATTTAAAAGCTTCCATCTATATAGTTCAATAAAAATTTATGAAAAATCAAGAGCAAAAATTCCGCAAAAATTTTAATCCATGAATAATACTCGATCAACACAATAGACGTATAATAATATTTATTTCACCATAAATATTAATTTCTTACAATTAACACGGACAGTCGATACATATTAATAGTTTTTACTGAAATCTCGAAATAGTTAATATTACTTATTTAGACTACAAATTATTTACCTCAGTATCGATGCTGTCGACTTTTGATATGTTTTCAACATTTGAGAAGGAACGAAATATTTTATTAGAAGTATTTTTTCTGATTAAATATTTCATCACATAATTTGTTAGCAAAACAATACAAAATACAATATTAAACATGACGTTTAAGCCAAGTAATGTGCCACAAAGAACATTGAAGAATAGTCCACTATCCCTTATCACACTTCCATTTTATCATTTTCGTTATCTTCGATCTAAACCTTGCAATTATCATTTTTCGATAAGTCATCATTGTGCTATAAAATGATTTTTCTCATTACTTTTTTATCGACGTTTTATCAAAACTAAAATTGTTCAATTAAATAAATAATACATTGTATATTAAAAATAATTATTATATAAAAATATTTGCCACGATTAAAATATAAAAAATTTATATGTACATATAATAGAAATTTATATTAATCACAAATATTATATTGCAATTATGTATATAATTTCAGAATAGATATAATAATCAATACATTAAATAATAAAAAATAATGTATCTATATCTCTATATTGAGACAGAAAGAGATGGACAATATAGAAAAATAGAAAGAAAAATCATCATAAAAAATAAATTTTTATTGAATTTAAATGCAGCCATTAGCTCGACAGTATTTGCGTTAACTGAATTAATTATATATCGCAAATAATATCGATTTCCAGGTCTCACCACATGGAGGTTGCTGCATAAGGAGACCCACGGGCTAAAGACTCTACTGTTAAGATCAATTGCTTTAGAATTATATAAAATCAAAATGGAATTATATAAAATTATTATTATAACATATTCAATAATAATTATTATAATTTGGAAAAAGAAAGAAAATCAATCGCGAAACGAATTAAAAATTTTTTTCTAAACAATCATGATTAGACGAAAATTTATGAATCCGTTTGATATCGATCTACCTACCCGGTAAAGAATAGAGCCCTTCATATGGAATTCTATTCCTATTAAACTAACGTGAATGTCCATTATGCTGAAATCAAAAATAGAACGGAGTGCTTACCATAAATATACCTTATATAAAAATTATGCATTTTGTTTAATATTATTTCATAATGAATATATATAATATTATAATAATACCGTCTTATCATCTATAACACAACAAAAATAGTTTAATCTTTTGTAAGATTAATAATCGGACAAATTGTTTTTCTTTTGTTGCATTACGTATATTATATTACTACCTAACATATAAGTCTATACATAATTTCTTCGTATTATGTAAACAATATAGCTATCTGTAAATATAAAACATCTAAATCATCTAATCATTTCGTAAGTAAACAATCAAAATAATATGCGAATTTCATATAATAAATCAGCAGTTATCTGTAAACATAAAATATTAACAAATACATTTTATAATGAAACAAGAAGAAATAGAAATAATATTCGAATTTCATAGAATAAATCAGCATTTAGTTGTTCACAGTCACCTGTAAACATTAAAAACATTTTATAATTAAACATAAAACATCAAAAACAGTTTATAATTAAACAAAAAGCAATCGAAGTAATGAGCAAATTTCATATAATAAATCATCATTCAGTCACCTGTAAACATAAAATATCAAAAATATTTTATAATTAAACAAAAAGCATTTTAAATCAATATGCAAATTTTATGTAATGGAGAAACAATCTGTAATCATAAAAAATTTATAATTTTATTACTTTCTGAAAATAAAACATATATTAAAATAAAAATTATTTTGATATATTATAATTATATCGTTACGAACACACTATCTCACACACGGAAAGAACAACCAACGAAGAGGTAGAATTGAATCTTGCCAATTTAGATGATGTTTCCTGAAACAGAAATCGACTCTGTCTAGATTGATCAAAATTTTTTTGAATATTTCAAATAAATAAGAAAAAAAAATTTCAAATAATTCATCTTCCGCTGCTTTTTATTTTTTATAATTCCAATTCTTCATTCAAATCCTCAATAATCAATTAAATCTCCACATTATTATTTTTCTTTGATTTTTATCAATTAGAGCATCTGACAAATCTGAAACACACATCTATTTTATATAATGCATTCAGAATCTTTATCAATTTATTTTTTTGTCATATATTATCATAGTATGACAAATTTTGAAATATTACTTTCGACATTATTGTTAATACTCACTGATATATAAAAGGATATTTTACAATATTTAACCCTGGAACGTGAAAATGACACCTCTCTGTAACAAAAAACTATATAAAAGGGCACGTGCGAAAAGAAAAAATTGTATTTACAATTCATGGGCAAACATTTTCACAATTTTGATAGTTTAATAAAAAAAATTTTTATATACATATATTTAGCCATAAATTGTAATGGTGAAATAAAAGAAGAAAAGAAAAAAGTATTAAAATGGCAACGAAAAATAGCACTGAATATTTCGAATTTTCGATGCATTAGAAAACATGTTTTACATTTAAATAAAGATATAAAATTATGTATGAATATTATATACAAAGAGAGAAATTAAGAAATATATATAAAAAAAGAATTATATAATAAATTGTTAATTGTTTAATACAATTACAAATACATATTGTAAATTATTCAAGACACGTTATGAAAAAAGGAAAAAGAATTAAGAATATTTCATAATATTTAAGAATTAAGTCACGTTAAAAAAAAAAAAGAGCAAAAATATATTGCACCTTATTTCGTATTACAAAATGCATACACAATTTCGTATATGGCCATAAACATATCCATAACGAGATCGGATCTATGTTTAATCAATAGATTAGATATATATTATATTATTACGTTTATATTAACGCGAAGTAATCAGTTACATCAAATCAGATGTACATATTACATCGTTTATATATATATAAGATACTTTCTTATTTATTAAATTATAAAAAATATAATAATACAATTTCGCAATTTTAGAATTATGTACTTTGTATATATATATATATATGAAATAGTAATGAAAGAGAAAAATACGATTAAATATAAAAATATTACATTTATTAGAGACAATTTGGTTTTAATATATTCTTGCATATTATTCTTATGAATTTATTATATGAATTTATTTCATCGCCACTGCTTGCTATAACAGATCCTAATTTCTCTAACTACATCAAGTCTTACAGATTTTTAATCAGAATAATTAGAATATTAGAATAGATGATGATGATGATGATGGTTTACAACATATGAGTCGTTTTATAACTCGTTTATAGAATTATTACTGAGTAATAATCATATAAAAACAATCAAAATTATTCTGAAATAAAAATCTACATGCTTGAGTATTCTCAGGTGCATTCCTGAATGCATATCTGTCCCTATTCTGAATTATTTTCGTCTACACTCCTGAGTGTAGGACAGCCTTTTCATTCGTTTTATTTATATACCAAGACTTATGCATTTTTATTCCAAAAAATAATTTCATTAATTATGCATAAATATTTAATAAAAAATCATCGTATCATTCATATCATATCATTCACTATTTCTGCTTCATATTTCTTATGAATCTTTCATATATATATATATGTTTATATAAAATAAAAATATAATTTTGTATATATCTACGAACTCTTTCATTTGATAATTTAAATAATTTGGAATAAAAATATATATCCTTGACATAATTCATGCACTCCTGAGCGCAAGGCTGTTATTTTTGTATCATATCGCTCGCTTAGCAAGATTTATACATTTCTAATCAGAATGATTCAAATTTTCTTTTCATTTGTATCTACTCTATTTAAATATAAATATATAATTGTATTAGGAAAAGTATGAAATATTCTTGATTTATTATTAGATAAATTTCGTTTCTTTACAATAATATTATAAGACTAGAAAATTTAAATATTTATTTATCATATTCTTTAATTTATTATATTATATACATATACATTTTCCTTGATATACTTTTGATTTTTCTGAATGAGAAATGTATATCCTTACTATAATATGTTCATCTGCATTTTTGAATACAGGTATGTACTTACTGTGAACCTATCATATGCACTCCTGAGTGCAGGCAAGCCATTTCGATCGTTTCATTTATATACCAAGACTTACGCATTTTTATTCCAAAAAATAATCATATTTCATTCCCATATATATAAACATTTATTAATAATCTTTATATCGTTCATTATATCTCCTTAGCATTTCGTATGAAATTTTCATATATGTATATATATAATAAAAATAATCTCTCCCTTTCTCTCTCTCTCTCTCTCTCTTTCATATATACTTAGTAGTTCTCTCATTTCATATTTATTTGTTGATAATTTTGGAATAAAAATGTATACCCTTGACATATGTCAATATGCACTCCTGAGTGCTGGCTGCCATTTATGTTATTTCATTCATCTAACAAGACTTATATATTTCTTATCAAAATGATTCAAAATTTGTTTCGTTCATTTGCACTATTTAAATATCAGTCAATTACTATATATAAAATAATATGAACTTTTCTCTATTTATAGTCAAACGAGTTTAATGTATTGAAAAACAAATATATCATCAGAGACCGATAATATTTGTTTCATAAATTATCCTCATAAGTGCATTCATCCATTAATTTTTGATCATTCTGAATAAGAAATGTATATCCTCGCTATAATATATTCATCTGCATTCCTGAATGCATGCATGTCCTTTTTCGATGTGTACATCAAGTCTTGTAGATTTTTAATCAAAATAACCATAATAATCATAATAATTAGAATAATCAGGATAATCAGACTACAAAAAGATAATGAATATGATAATGATGATGATGATAGTTACCACATATGAGTCATTTTATAACTCGTGGTAAAACTAGGAAATTGTAAAAATGGTTTTACAATCCTGTGTTATTTACCGCATAAGGGTCTTTGAGCGACCCGCGGTAGTGCTGTGTTGACATGTAGGTATGAAATATGTATATATCTCGTATATATACATACACATTATGCAGTTATGAAAAGGAAAGGGAAAAAATATATGATTATTCTGAATTAAAAATCAACATGCTTGGGTATCCAGGTGCACTCCTGAGTGCAATGTTGCTGCAGGCCACGGATGTCCACACAATATTTAACGAGCGTGACTCTAGTTTTGTAACTAAAACTCTACTTCAAGAAAAGACTCTACTTTACTATAAAATTTTTAAATGCAAGTACTCAACTTTAATTTAAAATGTAAAGGGAGGGAGAACTCGACTTTAATTTAAATTGTAAAGGGAGGGCGACTCGACTTTAATTTCAAAAGGGAGGGCTCAATTT